CTTAATATAAACCATCTCCACTGGAAAGCCTCTTCTACCCGGGTGGAGCCATCCTCATCCTGCAGGAGCTTCTCAGAGGGTGAGGAAGTGCCTCTTATGCAGCGATACCAACATTTATCACAATCCAAAATTTATTCATCATTTTTAACAATCGACTCCAAATTTTACTGGACTAATTTCTAAGTCTGTTTATGTTTTTATGGTGCAAAAACCACGTAATTCTCATTAGGAGTCTACTCAGCAGCAAAAAAAAAAAAAAAAAAAAAAAAAAAAAAAAAAAAAAAAAAAGAAAGAAAAGAGCAATCCATTCCTACAGAAACCTTGGAGCACCTGGAATTTGCATTGCTGAGGAGAAAAGTAATGATTTAATTGTGAAATGCTCAGAGTAATAATTACTGGAAGTAAGCTGTTTCTAAAGCTCCCGAGTATGACTTTAGGGAAGTGGCAGGGACACACGAAATTTTACATAGAGTGTAATATTCCTATAAAAATGGAAATACATGCACAAAGGAAGAGTCTCCCTGTCATCCTCCAGGCTAATGAAAAAGAGGAGGAAGAAGGAATATATCCATGGAGAGGTAGTAGAGATGATGAAATTATTGATTAGAAAAAATTAAAACTCTGCTGCGTTCATTCTCCAGTCACCCAAATCTTTTGATTAGTGCCTCTGGATCCCTGGCAGTGTCCAAATCCAGGCTGGACAGGGCTTGGAGCAACCTGGGACAGTGGAAGGAGTCCCTGCCCATGGCAGAGGTGGGATGGGATGAGCTTTAAGGTCCCTTCCAACCCAAAGCAGTCTGGGATTTTATCATTTTGTGAATGACTGTCTACAGGTTCAGAAGGAAAGCTGAAATCCAGAGCGTGGACTCAGCCCGCTTTGGAGTGTGGTTCCAATGAATGGGTCCCCCATGGAATCTGGGAACATCCACAGCTGGAAGGACCCACAGGATCATGGATCCAGCTCCTGGCCCTGCACAGACACCCCAAAACCCCACCCTGGGCATCCCTGGCAGCGCTGTCCAAACGTTCCTGGAGCTCTTGGGAATGTGCCCATTCCCTGGGGAGCCTGGGCAGTGCCAGCTCTGGGGGAAGAACCTTTCCCTGACACCCACCCTGAACATGCCCGGACACAGCTCCAGGCATCCCCTCAGTGCTGTCCCTGCCACAGGGAGCTGTCCCTGCTGCACGGAGTGCCCTGTCCCGTGTCACACCAGGCCCACACGGCAGAGTTCAGTTCAGTTTTATTTTCCACTGTAACGGATTTCGAATGATACATCATGCAGTCTGCCAGTGTATCCATCCATCTCCGACAGAACTTCAGCACGAAGATAAAAGACTTCTCTCCACGGGCTGGGGGGAGGAGGAGGGTTCAGGTCTGCTATCAAGAGTTTAATACAGTTCAGCATCGTTTGATGCAATGGCAAAAAAAAAAAATAATAAATTTCCCCTTGTTACCAGCAAAACGTGTCCACCATTTATTTCTTTTTTTTTTTTTTTTTTTTTTTTTTGTTTTGTTTTTCTCTATTTTTTTTTTTTTTTCTCCTAAATTGAACACTACTGTAAAGATACATAGAGCCCAGAGAATACACATCTGCAGTACACGGTACACACTTTACAAACTAGACAGGGCTAAATCCACGCAGCGCCTCAGCCCGCGGCTCCCCGCGGGCAGCGCTGCCATCCCGCACAGCCGATGGCTCCCGCCGCCGCACTGAGGACAACACTCACAGCAAGGGGAGATTCAGATTATCCTGCCCACTTGTTTCCCTCTTTTTTGCCCCCCGTGGAGGAGTACTTCAGTCATGGTTGTGTGAGGTATTTCTCCTCCAGCGAGGGGAATCTGATGAGCCCTTTTCTTTGGGACCTTCGTCGCCCGTTGTTGAAACAGTTCTTCGAGTAAAACCGTGCTCAAATTAGAATTCTTGGTTTTGTTTATTTCCAAGCCTTAAGGCAGGGTTAGATAGGATATTGGGAAGGAATCCTGGGAGTGTGGGCAGGCCCTGGCACAGGGTGCCCAGAGAAGCTGTGGCTGCCCCTGGATCCCTGGAAGGGTCCAAGGCCAGGCTTGGAACAGCCTGGGACAGTGGAAGGTGTCCCTGCCATGGCAGGGGGTGCAATCAGCTGATCTTTAAAATCCCTTCCAACCAAACTGTTCCATGATCCTATAATTTATAAAGATTTCAGACAAATGTGCATCTTAGTCTGTTAGGCTTTATAAGGTGAAATTGAAAAGCTACTCAAGGCTTACTGTGGGCGGGAATTGCTGTAGCAAAATTTTTTTGGTGACTTATTTTTAAGTTTTCAGTATCTTCAGGATAATCCAGCTCTCACCCTTGTTGAGTTTAATACAAAACTTAAAAATGCATCAGCCAAGGTCTTTCCAAGCTTAAAACTTTCCTTGCTTTCCAGAAAACAAGTCGATGAAACGTAAACTCAAGGACAAACACAAGATATTTGAACATATCAATAAGAGAAGCTCAAGTGAGCCAGAAATACTTTTCAATTACTAGCAAAAAGAACAATATGCACTTTAGTTCCATCTGAAATCCGTTTTCCATTCGGGAATGGTATTTCCACCCCAATTTGTCCCATGCATGACATTTTTAGATGTGAAATTTCATTTGCGCTGTACAAACCACAACTTTAAAAATGAGCGTGGAATAAATAGAACACAGCACTCAAAGAGCAAAGAAAGGAAGATGGGGTCAGGAAACAGCAAGAGACAGGTTCTGATCTCTGCAGAGCAGATGTGTGGTTTTCCTTTCCAGATATAAAATGTGAAAGCCTTAGAAATGGTACAAAAGTTGAATATACAACACGCGGTACAAACTGAAGTTGCCTAATTAAAATAGGCTTCAAAAATAAAAATCGATACAAGCAGAGTATGTTCAAGTGAGAATTTGCAATTTCCAACTATTAGATATCTCAGGTATTTAATTTTGAGGATTTTAGCCTAAGGCATCTTTGGGGCATTGCTGAAAGTCCCCCTGCAGCGTTGGTGTAAAAGGGAACTTGGATAAACTTCGTCGTTTTGCTGCTGGTGGCACTGACTGGCTGATCAGCACCAGCACGAGGAAGAGATGTCCAAGTTCACTTCTCCCTCAAGCTGCAGGGAGCTGGCAGAACTGTCCCCAAAAAATTCCTGGTGATGCCTTGAGGAATCCGGACCTATTTGTTGTCATGAATGCTGCATTTACAATAGAATTCCGTACCAAACTCTGAGAGACACAACAAGAAGTTTGCCTACAGTACAAAAATCTTTGACAGCAAATAAGCTTGGGATCTTTTCCTAGAACCAAAACAAGAGGATTATTAATTCCTAGTAGAAAGCTCAGCTCTGACCAGCTGGTAAGATAGCACAGAGGAGTTCTGAGTTAGTGATTTTATTAAAGATTGCATATGGCAAGTTCACAGTTCATTCTTCTGGCAGTGCACATGCATGTAACGAAAGAAAATATAAAACTTTGGAAAATACAAAATAAATTAAATACATGCAAATCTGCAACTTCATTAAATATGTTTAGCAAAATGCTCCCCCAAAATAGTGCAACATTAAAAAAAAAAACCCCAAAAACCAAAAACAAGTTAAATTAAGTTCAACTTACTTTGCAACACCCTAATTTCAGTAGAAAAAAATATCTAAAGTCAACTCACAATCTTCCAAAACGCCCTACGGAACTGAAGAGTTCTACACCTACACATTCAGAAATTAAAAAAAAAATTCCAATCAATCTCAAATTAAAAAAAGAGCAAACGTCTGCAAAAGAAGACCAGAGGGCTACGCTCGGCTGGAGCCTTCCTGGAATTCCAGCGTCCTGGAGCCTTCCTGGAATCCCGGCTTCCTGGAGTCCCACCTGCCCCAGGAGATGGGGAGGGAGGGAGGAGGAGGAGGAGGAGGAGGAGGAGGAGCAGCACCTTCTGCCTGCCAGCAGAACCTTCCCAGAGCAATTCCAGTGCCCCCTTGCTGGGAAGATGGAAATTTGCTGGCTGAGAGATCCAGGGAAGGCTTTTCCTTCCCTCTGGACCTTCCACGGGATGTGTGGATATAATGGCTTAGAAAGACATTCCCTTGCCCTGGAAATGTGCTCCTCACATCCCAGCAAAAAAATTCCCAAATTTGGTCTGCAAAGGACAGTTTGAGTGCACAACTCTCACCTCCTTTAGGATTTTTTTTAAGGAAGGGTTTGGGGGATTTTATTTTCCTTTGTTCTGGTAGGGAACTGTTCCCTCTGGAATCTGAATTCCGGTGTGAACAGATCGGGGCTTGTCTGGGGAAAGGGAGAGGGGGAAGATACTTGTCGGAGTTTCCAAGGCAAGATTTCCACAGCATTCTGAAATCCTTCAAAAATTCCTAGGGAAAAACTCTTACAAACACGTGGCTAAGCTGTCCCACTCCAGGAAAACCCACCACTGGAGGGAGAACTACAAGGGAACAGGAGTTTAATTTTGAAACAGGTCACACAGATAAATTCATGGAACTACCAAACTTCAAATCCTACGTCTATACTAACAGATTTCTCTGCATCCCATTTGTTCTTTACCAGGTACTGCAATAAAGGTTATTTTATACAGTCCAAAGATTTTTTTTTTTTTTTTTAAATCAGGATATTACAAATGGTTCTTTGGGGAAATTTCCTTCTGAAAATGTTAAGCAGTAAAATTAAACCACATAGCAGCACATTTTCATCCCCTAAAAATATAAAATAATATGTATATTATACAGGAAATCAGTCATGACAGAGCACAATCAACTGCCTTTGATGGCACTTGGTCATTGAATAATTAATTCCTTGATGCCAGAAGTCGGGAATTACCGATGCCAACGGAGGACTCGGAAAAAAAAAAAAAAAAAAGCATCACTCTGAGTGGATAAGCCCCAACCTAAGCAGCGCCAAGGGGTCGTGGAATTCGGAGTGGCAGACTCCCTATCATCCTTACTGAGGTGGGAATGTTCCAGACACTGTACAAGGATCTGGAGGAGCTGAGCTGGACACTTCTGTACACGTGGAGATCCTACGAAGCTCGGAGTACCTGGAGCGGGGCGTCGCCGACGGCCGTGGGAAGCGCAGGATGGGCAGGACGTGGACCGGGTTGGAGAGGGGCAAAAAAGAAACTAATGTGACTTAATGACAGTCCTTAACATGCTAAGTGGAACTGACCTGCCAGAGAGAGCGAGAAGGGGAAGGGAAATTAGTGGATTTGGGGGATTAGAAAGCAGAGAACCCAAATGGGATGGGCAGCAAACAAAGATCTGCAATCGCGTCAAAAAAATTATGGAATTTGGGTCTCACAAAATGAGCCAGTTCTCCTGATGGAATTCAGTCCCTGCCACCTCTGCAGCCTGGAATTATGTCTCACCCAAACACTGTGGGAAATGGATTTGTAGAAAATTCTCAGCAAGTATTAAAATTCACACCATCACAATCAAAACCCATCTATTTCCTAATTACAATACACTAAAAATGTTTCTTGGCCTATCAGGTTTTACCACACCATACTAGTGCCTTAAAGTCAATCATCTAAAATTCCCCCTCATGAGTCCTGCTACAATACATCTTTCATAGTTCTGTTTCTCCAAAGTACCCAGTCTTTTTTACAAAACCATCCTTTGAAACTTGTTTCTAGTTCCATTTCTCTCTCAGCGATGTCTGTCCTATTCCATGGCATTTCTAAATCAACATTTCTTATCTCAAAGTTTGCATACAGACACACACTATGTGAACCTTCTATCAAGTTTTAAGAATTTTCTACAAATCCATTTCCCACAAACACTATCTAAAGGCCCACCTTTTTTTTTCCCCCTTTAATTTTCTCTTCCTTTCATGGGATTTTTCTCTTGGCTCATTGGATGTGCTGAAGAGCTGGTGTGTGTTTATGTCATGTAACAAGGGGGGAGGGGGGAAAGTAACAGCAGCAGAATTTGAAAATTATAAAATCAAAAGGATGAAAAAATACAAATTCAAACCAATCTTTCTGTTCTCTGTCTTCTGACAGAAATATTCTCCTGATATATATATACACATATAAAATAAGTGTTTACAGAAAACCCTGAAATTTTATATATAATATCATTATATTATTATAAAAATAGACTCTATAATTTTATATATGCACATTATACAAGCACACTTTATTAAAACCCACATTTCTTTCTCTTCCATCTGCTGGGTTAATCAATCATAACCACTGACCAGTCTAACAGCACTAAATGTCTTTTATCTTTATGGTGAATAATGAATGAACTCAAGATAAATCTCTCCTCAGCAAATGTTGAAACAGGAACCTCAATTTTATTTCTCTGCTGTTAAATGACTACAAAAGAGAGTTTTGTTCTAGTGCCAGCTGGGTAGAACTGCCCCATTCCAAAGCACTTTCTGCAGAGCCTAGGAATGTCTCAATAATAATCAAGAAATAATCTGGATGAAGTTCTCCCTGCCCTGGCAGCACCTTTACTAACACCCTTACTCAGACCCCTGGGTTTCCATCCAAGCTCAGAATTCAGGTTACTCAGATACTCCCAATTTTGGCAGCCAAACAGTTGGAATTTGCCAATAAAGTTCTTAACCAAAGGACCAAAACTGAGGAGAACTGACCTTCTCCAATCACTTCACAGCCTTCCTGGACTACACCTTCCACACTTATTTCTGGATGTGAGTGAAAAATCTAGAACACATTGTTGAAATGGTTTCATTCCAACCCCTAGGGCTGCCATTTGGTTTTCAGATTTTTCCTAGTTTTTTCCAGAAACCCCAAGGCGTAACTTTATCCAGTTTCTCCTGAGATCTTCCATCTTCTTCTTCTCCAGCCTCATTTTCCCTGGTGCTCCTCTGCAATGTGGCCTGAACCTGCTCATCTCCATAGCCCTCAAATTTAAACCTCAATGTCTGAAATATCTGGCATTTTATGCCTCCTGATTGATTTTTCTTGACTTCCACAGTCCTGCCTTGTTATTACAAACCCATCTAGTTTGAAGTGTGGTTATTTTATTAATACCTTTCATTAATCTACAGTTGTTCACCTGACACGTGTGGCCTGTTTGAGTCTGACTCTTCATTTCACTGCAGCTGGCAAATTAAAGGTGCATTTACTTGAGGCAGGTGGCAGCTTTTCCCCCTCAGAGCAGCTGTTACAAGAAATGTTTAGAAATCTTTGACAAGGCTCTGTATCCCACTCTTTGCCAGGTCACAGGGGTGGGAATGTGATGAAGCAGATGGGCAGAGGCACCTCACTCCTGAGGTGGGAAAGCCAATTTCAGACCAGAATGGACAAAACCACTCAGCAACGCCTTGCCCTAATTTATCCACAGAGGAAATATTTGTTGCTGGAAGCTCATGGCAAACACAATGAGCAGGAACAATCCCCCAACACAATAACAGCTTGAGTGTGGCGTGATGGATGCTTGGCATGCAAGCCTGACATGAAACACTCCCAAAAAAAAAAAGCTAAAAACACCCAAGAATGCCTCAAGGAGACCACAGACCATAAAGAGAGTTGTGAGACAGAATTAATCCTCAAGGAGGGCAAAAAGCCAGACTTGGAGGGACAAGTTTGCTGTCCCCAGGCTGCTTTTCACAGCCACTCGCTGCCACCCGGCTCTTGGCATGTCTGTAGCATAAAGTGATCATGTAAAATAATGCAGATATAAAATCCCTCCAATAATGAGCATTTAAAGAAAGAAATGGCAGGATGGAGTCCATGGGATAGTCTCCTGGGAATACACTGCTCATATTTTGCTTAGGAGAAACTCTCAAGCCCTGGCAATTAAAGTAAAATATTTAGGTTGTTTTTATTTTTCATGAAGAGAACTAAGAGTGCAAAGTGTGTCAAATGGTGACACTCACATTTGGAGATGTCTCTTGTTACCACTGACAGCTGCTCTACCCCTATCCCAGGCTGGAATATCCCAACATGGAAACACATCCATGGTACAGAAAGCAGAAGATGATGCTGGCAGAAGGAACCTCTGGATCTGTATTTTTACTGCATGAGTTTCATATCTCTATATGTGAATTTTGGTCCAGACTTACCAGAGCAGTTTTTAAAAAACTTTTAAGTGCTAAGTCATTAAAATAAAACCTCTCCTCAGCAGCTGGCAAAGCTTCTTAACAGGCACTCAATTAACGAGTATTGTAATTATCAGCAAACAACAACTAAAAGTAGAAAAAAAAAATTACTGTGGAAAAGCAAGATGAAATATAAGGGAACTGAGTGGGAGAAGAGGTGAGTAAGTTACTCTGGCCTTACCTCTCGTTTATTTGGTGTTGTGGTAGTAGCTGGAGTTGGACATCCCTCCCCCTCGGATGGCGTGGACGGCCGTCGGAGAAGACGCTGGGTAGTGACCAGGGCGGATGGGCTTGGCTGCACAGGGGAAGGAGGGACCAAACAAGACATTTTACCTTTCCCATTTTAGCTTCCCACCTCCCCTTCTCCTCCAAGGGAAACCCCATTGTTTCCCACCTCAGTGGTTTCTGATCCAGCTCTGCAGAACACAGCACTCCCTGCCTTGGCCAACAAAAAATACATCAATTTTCCTGCTAGCACATCCTTTTTCCTGGTGGCAGAGCCCTTCCACCTTCCCATGCATTAGATCTGCAAAGGTTCTGGACTGTCCAACAACAGAGGGAAGTCACTTGGTGGGCAGTGAGGCACTTTTTATATATAATTTACACCATTCCAGAAGATGTCAAGACAAAACTTGGATGGCTCCCTACAAGAGGAAGCATTCAGGAGGTGACACTTTGTGCTGCGTGATTCTCCCTCAGGATTTAATACCTCAATATTGTCATCTCCATCTAAACCATTATCCTTTTTAATCCCATGAAATCATTCCAAGAATTGCCCCATACTTCTGTTGTGTGCACGCATTACATTGTGCCTCGGAGATATATCAATATCTGGAGTACAAAGGAAGATTTTTTGGAATTAAATCACATGGAGGAGTAATCAGGGGGAAAAAAGAGAAATGGACAAGGTTCAGAAAGGCAAGGAAAGAATGAAAGCAGAGAGGGAGCGTGTAGGGGGAGGAGGAGGAAGAAAGTGAGCCACTAATTTAAGGAGACAAGTTTTCAGGTCACTAGAAGGGCACACAAGACCCATTATGCCCTTTATTTACCCAGTGGAACAGCAGAGCCTCTTTAAACTCGAGGTGGGGCAAATTCCGTGCAAAAGCGAGGCCTTTGAAGATTCCTGTGCAGCAGAGGAGAAGCAGCCCCTATGTTTTACTCCCTCCACTCAACCCCCAGAAACCACCCGAGCCTGAAGCACATGGGCAGCCCCTTTAGCTCCATGTCCTCACCAATTTGGGCAGAGTGTGCTCTCCGGGCCATGTTTTTGGCTCTCACGGCCTCCTTAATGCGATCCACCTCCTGCTGGTAGCGCTTGCGGTCGCGCATGGCGTTTTCCTTGGCCTCCTTCAGTGCACTCTCCAGGGCCTTAACTCTCTCTGCCGTAGCTCGAAGGCGTTTCTCCAGCTTAGGAAGCTCGCAACGAAGATCTGCATTATCACGTACCAGCTGCGGGGAAAGCCGTACAAAATTAAAGGAGGTCAAAAGAAAGTGGCGAAAATCTCCTCAGAGAAACGGCGGGAGAAGTCGCCTCACAGAGAGGAAAGGCCATCATGCTCTCCATATGTCATGAACTAAAATTAAACCAATGTATTCCAAAAATTAATGTGCAAAGCTTAGGTTAAAGAGAAATTTGGAACATCCTGAGCTGGAATGGACCCACAAGGTCAAAATAAAGTGGCAAAAATCTCAGAAAAATGGCGGGAAAAGTCACCTCACAAGGAGAGAGAAAACACCACCAGTTGTTCTGCATATGTCATGTGCTAAAATTAAACAGGTTTCTTCCAGAAATTAATGTGAAAGGCTTAGGTTAAAGAGAAATTTAGAATATCCTGAGCTGGAATGGACCCACAAGGTCAAAAGAAAGTGGCAAAAATCTCCTCAGAAAAATGGTAGAAAAAGTCGCCTCACAAGGAGAGTGGAAATGCCACTGGTTTCTCTCCATGCCTCGTGTATTAAAATTAAACAGGTTTCTTCCAGAAATTAATGTGAAAAGCTTAGTTTAAAGATAAATTTAGAGTATCATGAATTGGAATGCACCCACAAGGTCAAAAGAAAGTGGCAAAAATCTCCTAGAGAAATGGCAGGAAAAGTCACTTCATGAGGAGAGAGAAAACACCACCATGCTCTCCATATGTCAGTACTAAAGTTAAACAGGTTTATTCCAGAAATTAATGTAAATATTCTAGGTTAAATAGGAATTTAGAATGTTCTGAGCTGGAATGGACCCACAAGGATCAAGTCCAGCTCCTTACCCCACACAGGGCACCCCAACAATGCCACCCTGTGCCTGAGGGCATCATCCAAGCTCAGTTTTACTCATAAAATTCACTTCTCTGGCTGAGGAGTCACCATCATTTAAATTGTCCAGAAAGGTCAAAGCAAAATAAAATTTATTCCATTCAACAAGATTCCACAGAGCTGGTCCTGAGAGATGAGGACTCGAGGACCAACCCTGCACTGCAGAGAACTTGACAGCCAGATTTCTCTACACATCCAAAACTCCAGCAGAAACTCTACATTTCCTCAGAACAGAGAAATCACCAGGATTTTGCAAATCCTCGATCACCTCATTATTTTAAAACAATAATTTTACAGACAACACCAGGGATCACCCCAAATTCATAATTTCCAGAGGTTCTGATGTGTTCACCTGTGTGTTCCCTACTCAGCCACGTGGGAAAACTGGGAACTTCACTAAGAAATCACTTTTAGGCCTGTAACTACAAATATAACTATATGCAACTTTGAATTCATGCACTTCCTCAGTTTAACATGAACCTGAGTGAGGTCTATCAATTATACAAATCACATCTGACCTCCCATGCAGCAGCAGCCAAGAGAGGATTGATTTTTAATAAACACAAAACTGATCTGGGCAGAAAATCCAGCACAATTTCTACTGAACAGATTACACCACTGCTGGAAATCAACAGAAATCTGCTCCAAAGGAGTGACTCTCCCTTTTCTGGAGAGAAAAGTGGATTAACAACCACATTAATAATGCAGCAAAGCAACAGCATGTCCTGACATTCACACTTGTTTAACAATCAGAGCATTTTACACCTGCTGGGCCAGGCTTAGTGCTGGAGAAAAACACAAACAAGCTAAAAAAACATTGTCACAATGTGCTTTTTCTGCAAGTGCTGAACCCTTGTTGTGTGAAATAGTTATGATTCAAATCCAAGCAGGATGCTATCAAGTCCAACGTCACTTTTCTCTGAAAGTTTCGTACAAGATGTGGATTCCAAGTTGATTTTGAGTAAATACACGCTAATGAGAGCTATAAAAATCCACATTTGAAACCCAGCAGATGCATGAAACAAGTGCAAAAAAAAAGGCAAAATGGTAAAAGAAAAACCACTCTGAACATGTCCCAGTTTCCACATTTAGAAAGTAGGTCTTGAAACCATCTGTTCCCTGGGAATCTGAAAACCCCAAACCTTAGCAGACACTTGTCACAGTCCAGCACTTCCTGCTCTTTGGGCACTTCCACAGGAGTAATTAAAGCAAATCTGGGAGTGTGGGTCACTAATACAGCTTCAGGAGAGTGCACTGCTCACTGTTATGCCACTGCTCGAAATAGAAATCAAAACAGCTTTAGTGATTTGTGTTGTGCACCTAACAATAGGACACAGCTCCAGCGTAGTGGGAGAGGAGATTTTAGGGAGAAATCCTTTCCTGGGAAGTGGGGAGGCCCTGGCACAGGCTGTCCAGAGAAGCTGGGGCTGCCCCTGGATCCCTGGAAGTGTCCAAGGCCAGGCTGGACAGAGCAGCCTGGGACAATGGAAGCTGTGGGACATGGGACTGGATGGGCTGGACTGGATTCCCACGTGGATAGGACTGGATGGGCTTTAATTCCAGATCTGGGATTGTATGAAACTGGAATCCCATGAAGGAGGGAGGACACACAAATGGACCAGCCCAGAAATTACCAACCTTGGCACCCCAGGGAGGCACCAGCCCTTCAGCTGCACAGAAAACCCCAATTCCATTGTTTTCACTGAAAACTCTGCTGGTTGAATCCACTCCAACAACCTCCAGGGTGCCTCTGAGCAGCTTCAGGCCAGGAGTCAAATTGGGGCTGCACAATCCATCCAGAAAACAGCTATTTTTATGTATTTCCTCGTGCCAAAACAGATCTATTTTCACAGGAAAAAAAACTTCCTTATTTACCACATTTCTGAAAGTACAGGGAGTGGGAAGAGCAGCTCTAGCTCCCAATTCCAAGGAGTTTAGTGGGTATCTTTTCCTCAGACCGCTTACCTTCCAAAATTTCCCTTGTAAATATTAAAAAAGTGCATTTTTTGATGGAGGGAGGGGAAAGGGAGCCTTTACCTGTTTGTGAACCTTTGTAAGTTGTTCCAGGTTGTTCTCAAGAAAGGAAATTTTCTGCTTCTGCGCCGCGCTTCCACCTCCATCATCACTATCCAGTTCAACACTCTGCACACAAAATTGCAGCACTCAGCAAAGCCAGGCACAAACTCAAGGGAAAGCTCAGCTCTTTGGAAATTTGAGCTCCCCAAAGGCAAAAAAGTCTTACAGAGCCCCAGATTTAAGAGAAATTATTTTAAGTCTTTGTTTGATATTTAGGAACTGCATTTCATCTTACACAAAAAAAGCACCCCAAGCTATTTTTACTGAACAATTGTGGGGGAATCCTGAATAGGAAAATCAAGTTATACTAAATAATTTCTGAAGCTCATCATCTTTGGGAATTTAGCTGAACTGCACTGGATAAGTTCATTCCCCTCACTAAACAACATTTTCCTTATCAATTTAGAACCAAATAAAAGCTGATAAACATCACAACATCTTTAATCTTGTTTCTCACTGCTACTAAAAAAGGCATTATCCCATTTTGTAAATGCATGCACTAAAGGCTTCCAGCAAATCACAAGAATGCTGCAAAAAAAGAGAGAAGATTTGGGTTTAAAAGAGCAGAGTTTTACTTTTTTAACACGGGTGGTAAGATCCTGGACAAACAGCTTGCGCAGATTGTGAAGAGTCTGAAGCTCCCTTGCCTGGAATAAAAATAACAAAACAATAATTTTTAGAAAAGCACAAATGACTAGGACATAGGAGATGCTCTGGTGTAAAAGTTCTCCTTGGATTTGAGTTGGTAAGAGGAGCAAAGATTTTCTCTCTAGGATTCACTCTGAATGCAGAAAATAAACCCCACCCAGCCCCAAAACCACACTGAAGAGAGCAATTTATCCAAAACTGGTAAAAGCAACCTTTTAAAATTTTAATTTAGGTAGTTCAAAGCTGTTTACTCAAAAATTAAAATATATATCACCAGGGTGTACAGATATAGAGGGAAAAGCTGAAAGAAGTGTAATTAAGACCTACCACTGTTTCCTCCAGCCCTTTAAGGTCTTCTCTTGCTTGTTCCCTTTTATCATTAAGGAGTCTGGAAAGATCACAACAGGGAACACAAATCAATCACAATAAACAGAGGAGAATCAACAGCATCCACCTGGAGCTGCACATCTGCAGGTGGCAGCAAATTGCACATCTCTAAGTATGCTTTTGACTGCCCCAAATATCTAATTTTATCACCTGGAAGGGCTGAGTCACCACTTCCATCTTTGTGTCCACACATGGGATTTTTCTCTCTCATTTCCAGGAAAGGCTTTTACTCAAACATCTGATTTAAAACCCCCAAAAAAGTCAAAAAACTCCACCAAAAACTCCCAACTTCTTTCATGCTTGTTTTGCTGTGAATTAAGGAATGAGAGATTTAAGACTTGCTGGGGTATTTTATAAAATCAGAGCTCTAATGATCTCTTTTTGGTAGTGATCAAAGCCACTATTGAAAAGCCTGTGATATAAAAATAGAAAGTAATTGGTAATTATTTATTAGTAGTTCCTGCTGGCTTTGCTACTAAAATTATATTTTCAGTGTGAATATTCTGACACAAATCCCTCTCCCTAACACATTTTCCACACATGACGAGGTTCAGGGATGCCAAACTGTGCACTTACATGAGCTTTTCCAATTTCATTTCTCTTTCCTGGTCCTCAATTTTTAATTTATCATAATCAGCACTCAGCTTCTCCTGTTCCAGCTGCAGCTTCTGGTTCATGCTGGAAACATGAAAGGAAAAGTCAGCCCAGCTTAGGAGGAAGGGAGGGAAAATCTCCACCAACAAAATGGGATTGGGCAGAGAAAAAGTAAAGCTGTAACTCTCTACTGAATAACTCTGGAAGAAATGAAGCATAAAGAACCTGGAGGACATTATTTTAAAATATTGGAGAGCTAAATTCAGTGGTTTCTTTTGTTTGCCTTAGAGGAGGACCCAAATTGTTGCTGGCATCTTTCTGCCTTCCTTCCTCATTTCCCTATAATAAATCTTTGGCCATACACAATAAATATGATAAAATAATACCTAGATTTTAGAAAAAGAAGAACACAGGAGGAAAGTATAACAGAGTCACACTGGTGTGTGAGGAAAAAAATATAAAAATGAGTGAAAATGGGAGCTGTTGGTCACCCAGACTCTCAGATGGTCTGGGGCAGGACTGGCTGCTGTGAGAATCTCAAAACCTTCCTGGGGGTGTGGTTCAGTGGTGGCTGAACTCAGTGACCTTAAAGGATTTTCCAGCCCAAATGATTCCATGATCCTTTAAAACCTGCTCTGCCCCAAGCTCCTCTCACCTCCTGACCCGCAGGTGCAACATCACCCTTTTTTTAAAACTCTATAATTTTTATGGCCTTGTTAAATCTCCCCAATAAAGAATTAGGCACTGTAATCCACCCTGCAAAATAATTACAGGGTTGGCTGCTGCGTGTAAGGACAGAACTTGCAAAGAAGCATCAATCAAACCTAACAAAACCGAGCCCAAAGCATCCCAGGCCAGAGGAGGGATGGGCAGGGTGAACTCACTCCCTGATTTCGTCGATTATTTTCTGCTTCTCTTCGATCTCATCCCTCAGCCTGGACAGCTGCTTCTGGTGGGCTTCCCTGTGGCTCTCCATCTGCTGCTCCAGAGCCTTCTGCAAGCACAGAGCAGGGAATCAGAGCAACCCAGGGACACACAGCTCCCTCTCACCCAGCCTCTGCTTTTGAGAGCAGCGACCAAATCCAGTCAGGAATCTGCCTGGCATTTCCTTTGATCACCACTAAACTCTGGGCCTGCTCATCCAACATTTTTAGCAACAGATGTACAACAACTTTGACTCGTTTTCTTTCAAAAAGTACCCCATGAAAACCTATTTGTGGCTTGCCCACAAATGCCACTGATTTTACACCAATCCTCTCTTATTTCCCCTGTTTATTCACCCAGGAAATACTTGCACAGCTCTACCTGTGACAGAAATAAAACCCAAACCTCTGAGAATTGTTTATCCACAGCCCTGCTGTCGAAATCGTTATTTATACATTTAAACTCTAGGAGTAAATACGCCTCAAGCAACAGGAAAAACTCAATTTATGTCTTTAGACTGCTAACACAAACTTTACTTTTTTCCTCAGAGCTGTAAGGTACAAGCACTTTAATCACAACTGCTTTAATCACTTTACAACTGCTTTCATCACTTAAAATTTTTATGATGGAGGGAAAAGTTCTGCAGCTGGCAAACCTCTATCACTGTCCTTGTAAAATTGTATTTTTCCTTGTCTGCAATGTGCAACCCCATCAGAACAACTCATTATTGCAAACATTTCCTGGCATTCCAAAGGAAAAATACCAGAAAACAGGTTTATATATTTTATTATTATTTCCAGGAGATAATCAGAATTCCAGCCAAACACTGGGGAAGTAGCCTCTTTTAAAATCAAATTTATAAGTACCTAAATGATATTAACCCCACCAGCCTCATTCACTACTGAGCAAATTGACTTTCAGCAGAGCTCCAGCAGCAAAAAATTAGTGTAACACAGAGGTGAATCAATGTAATTTTTGGCCATGTGAACAGGAAGACAAAATTCCACCCCAATGAACAATCTCACCAAGAAATTCCCTCAAAATTTCCACTGTGCCAAGCTACCTTCATCTCCTCTGCATCCTGGAGTCGTGTCAGGTGCTCCTTCTCCTTGTCCTTGAAGCTGACTTCGTGCATTTTTTCTGTTTAAAGGTGGAGACAGTTTTAATTTTAAATTTTAGATTTTTCAATAAATTTAATTTATTCCAGGAGATGGAATAAAGATTCTGTTCTAACAATACAGGAGATGATAAAGATTTTGAAAAAATAAAAAGTCTTGTCCCCACCTGCTGCTCCCTCAGAGAGGGAAAATTCCTTGTGCAGAAATCCAGAATTATTTTAAGGCTGTTATAAATTGATATAACCTAGGAGCTTAGCAAAGCTACAAGAGCTTCTTTTGATACCTACACATTTTCCACATTGAATTGGGCAGGGAAAGCCAAGCAAACCTTAAAAATGAAGTCAGCTGGGAAAGACACAACTTGTGCCCATCTGAGGGAAGCAGCTTTGTTTGGAATGAGGCACAACTGGAATTTAGACACATCCTTATTTTACAGAAATCCAGAATTTTACAGAACATTCAGCAAGACTGATTGGTGCTGTTTGGTAAAGGATCTGTGTGGGGGTTTACACAGTTTTTCTCATCATTAAGACACAAAACTGAGTCTCCCAAGACAGGAATGCCGAGACCCGGAGCTGTACCTTGAGCGCGCAACTTGGCCAGCTCCTCGTTGAGGGAGTCCTGGGACTCCTCCAGCTGCCTCCTCTTCTGCTCCATGTTCTGCATGTAGTCTGTCAGGGATTTGATCTTTGCTTCGTGCTTCAAAGACAAGGAACAGCAGTGAGAGGGGAGGAGCACGGCCGTGCCCTGGGAGTTCAGGACAGCCGTCCCACCCAAAGGGGAGGAAACAGAGAATTTCCACATCCAGAGGGGATGACTGGGAGAACTCCCAGCAGAATGGCTGGGAAGGAGCTAAGAGACCAAAGCAGGCTGTGTTTTCAGAGTTTCACTTGGTAGCTCAATTTGGAATTCAGGCAGCAATCCCAAAACATTCCTGGAAGCTCCTGGTGTTAAACCAGCAGCAGCTTTTTAAAAGCACCAGCCTTGAGGTGGCTTTGGGATCTTCAGCCTGCAAAAGCTCAGATGGACTCTCCCCAGCCGTCCTGATGGTTTGGTTGTGGCCAACAACCTTGAACTAGAAGGGCTAATGGGTGAATAGAAAACAGCAAAGTTTGTAGTGAAAACACTCAAAATCACACACACAGAATCACAAGGTTGGAAGAGACCTTCAAGATCATCGAGTCCAACCTGTTCCCTGACACCTCAACTAAACCTGGCACCCAGTGCCACATCCAGGTTTTGTTAAACACATCCAGGGATGGTGACTGCACCACCTCCCCCAGGCAAACTATTCCAGAACTTCATCACTCTGTAAAAACTTTTTCCTAATATCCAACCTCTATTTCCCTTGACACAGCTTGAGATTAAAATGTTTTTAGCAACAGACATACTACAATTTTGATTCATTTTCTTGCAAAAAGTACCCCATGAAAACACAGGGCTTGGCCACAAATGCCACTGATTTTACACCAATCCTCTCTTATTTCCCCTGTTTATTCACCCAGGAAATACTTGCACAGCTGCACCTGTGACATAGAGAGCTGGATCCCATTTGAGGATAAAAATTAAGATAGTCTGGATTATTGCATCTTAATTAAAAAGATTGAGTAGAACTTAACAAAGACACCCTGCTGAAGGAAAAGGGGCTCTCCCTGCTCCAGGTTTGCTTAGGATAACTGCTAGGGAATGAAACTGGATCATGTTTTTCCCTTCCCATGTCCATTTCCATGTAGGTGAGGGTGTCAGAGCTCTCAGCCCCTCTCCACAGCCATCCCTGTCACCCACTCAGAACCTCCTAAGCCTGGATTTCTATCCCAGAAAGTTTTCCATGGTATTTTGTAGCTCACTGCCTCGTTTTCTCGACAGCATACCCACAGAGCAGGTCCAGGGAGCTCCCCAAAGGTTTGGCTTGTGTAAAACACAGTCAGTGATGTTTTAAAGTGATCCAAGACACAAATTATTGACCCACAGAATGAACCAGGGTGGAAAAGACCGTCGAGATCAACAAACTGCTGGTGAGGAAACCACTCCAGGGAGGAATTTCAGTGCTATTCCACCAAACACAGCAGGACATGACCTTGCCAGAGCTCAGGACAAAACCTCAGGATGTGCTCAAAAACGCTGAGGGGGAGTGGCCTGGGATGACTTCATGATTCTTGTATCCCCATTTGTCTGTTCAGCCCAGAAATAAGTTTTGCCCCTTTAAGGCTGGTTCTTAAGAGCGAAGGAGGGGAGAGAAGAAGCACGGATTTTGTTTTCAGCCACTGCACTCGCTCCTCCACATTCCTGCATTGTCTGCAGCACGGACAGACGGCAGGACAGAGCTCTCCTTTGCTTTTAGTTAGTTTTTAGCTAGCTGAGGCAGACAAGTTCCCTGGACTGTGGTTGTTTGGACCTGTTTAAACCTGCTCTGGATGAACACCAGAAGATCAGCGGCAGCTCTCACCTGTGGCCCAGCAGGGCCATGACATTTTCTGATAAGAGACTGAGCGGGCCGAGCTACAGCCCACCAAGGGGACTTTTCTGAGTTTGTCATCTCTTTTGGAGCAGCAAGAGGTTTTATTGTTTAATATTGTTCATTTTTTTTGTGCTGGTCAATGCTTTGCTTGTTAAATAAAGAGGTTTTTTCCACTTTTCTACAAGGAAACCTTTTCCCAAACCACTTGGGGGAGGGACCACTTAAATCTACATTCTAGAGGAACCCCTTTGGAGTTTTTCTCCCAAATTTGCCCTAAACCAGAACAGGGAGGTGTGGAAGAGGTTTTACAGCAACTTCTGTGAGCCACAGAGAAGTCTGACAAGAGGATCCGTGTTTACCCCTGAAAGAATTTTCTACCAAGGTCATTGACATAGAAACCAAGAAAGAAAGAAGGATAAATAAGAGAAACCTGCAGCTGCCTATTCCAGTGAGCACTTAGTTTGTCTCTCGTGACCAAGGAGTAAACTTAGCAGGTTTGTGAGAATGTATAAAAAGCACACATAAAATATCAACAATAAAATATATATAATAAAAGCAGTTTGAAGCCTTCTGAAAACGGAGCGTGTCGCTTTGTGTCGTCTCAGTCCCAACTACGAACAGGGAGGAAAAAGAGAAGAGAGAGCAGACAACAAAACACCCACGGGGCCACACTGCTGTTCTCCACAGAATTTCTGACTCCTGGCACACACATTCCATGGGGAAGGAGGCTGGCAGGGCCACCAGGGCCTGGAGGAGGCAGGGGCAGACCCACCTGGGAGATGAGGAGCTGGCAGGCCGCCAGCTCCCTCTCGCTGGCGTTCATCTTCCTGTTGGAGTCCATCTGGGCGCTCTCCAGCTGCTTGCTGCGGTTCACCAGAGACTTCACCTCCGACTTCATCTTGCTGATGTAGAGCCTGGCCATGGTGAACTCCTCCTCGATCACGCCGTTCACATCTGCCAACTGATGATCAGGCCAGGGTCATTTTAGAGAGAGAGTTTGGAGCAGGGGAGGAGAGCATAAGTTACTTCTGAAAGCTTAAAACTCATGTTTGGAGGACAAAAAAAAAATCAGAATTGGGATCTTTTCACAAAGCAATGAATGCTTATTAATTAAGGAGATAGCTTCCTTCAGAATTTTTGGTTTGATTTGTCCTTTTATCTTGTGTATTTTATTTTTATTTAGCTTGTATATTTCACATTTGTGTGAAGGGATATCATACCCAGGCATTAGGATGGAGATCAGGGAAAGGTTCTTCCCCCAAAGGGTGCTGGCACTGCCCAGGCTCCCCAGGGAATGGGCATGGCCCCAGAGCTCCAGGAGGGTTTGGACAGCACTCCAAGGATGCCCAGGGTGGGATTTTGGGGTGTCTGTGCAGGACCACGAACTGGATCCACAATCCTGTGGGTCCCCCCCAGCTGTGGATATTCCACTGAGGAGCTGTGCAGGTTCTCCCTGAGCAGTAACACAGCTCAACTTCATCTGCCTCCCCTTTCTTCCCAGCACTGCCAAGGGGAAGGGAACATGTGCTGCTTCTTCTCCCAAAAATCCTGAAAAAATACACTTCTTCCAAAATTTCAGTCTGCTCTGAGATTAGACACACTTGGAGAAGATGCTAATTGCCAACAAATTTGAAATTATTCTCTAAGCGCTCCTCAGTCTGGCCTGATTTCCACTGGCAGCTGTCCCCTGAAGTGCTGACATCTCAGCTCCTACAAAAACTTGTACCAAACTGCCTCTGCCTCCATTTGCAAAGATTCCCTCTCCCATCCCTGCTCCTACGGCCACCAGAGGCTGCTGTGACATCTCCAAAGGCTGCAGGCTGCAGCACCACAGGGACAGCAGGGATTGTGTCCTCTGCAGCAGGACAGGCTGGAGCTGCTGCTGACCTGAGAGCCTTGGCAGGACATCAACAAAAAGTGAACTAAAAAACGTATTGCAAGGAATTTTCATATATCTCAAAAATGAACATAGCCACTTTGAACCACTGCTATTTTTCATGTGGTTTTAAACAGACAAGGATGGCATTAACACCACCAAGGAGATTTTTCCAGGCCATGGAAAGTTTCCATCTCTGCCATTTAGCGATGGCCATACAAATATTTTCTCTGAAACCATCATTTTGTTCTTCTACAAATGTGACAAAGTGAGCAGCCACCTCCTCTACTGTATCCCCAAACCACACAGAGCCACACAAAGGCAAACCTCAAAGCAGGGCTGACCAAAATGTGCACCAAAATTCAGATTAAAAACCGGCCACCTCAGAAACCAGTATTTTCCTATTCTGGGAATTCCAGGTCATGCCAGCTAGGGAATGAGTTGGGCTACGTGTGTGTTGTTTTGGGGGGAATTCAGACCTCCCATTAACCAGTTCAGTGACTCCCAGGTGGGCTCTGGCCCCAAAAACTGAGCTGGGAATAATTGTGAGAGTTGTGAGCCCAGACACTGAGCCTCTCCTAATTCCTCAGGTTCAGCTTTTCTGTGTTTCAGACTCTGTGCTGCTTCAGTGTGCAGTTCTGAGCTTCACATTAAGGCTTGCTGAGCTCTCTGCACAGAGCAGGGACACAAAACAATTCCTGCTCCAGCTGGGCACCAAGGACAAATGATCCAAATCTCAGGCCAGGAGCACAAATCCCGTGGGCTGCAGAGAGAAAAACAAGCAGGATGGGAGTGCAGGGGCTGAGCTGGAATTGGACACTGAACTGCAATGTGCACATGGAGCAGAGCTGATCCCAGGGAGAGACCCCGGGAGCGCTCGTGCATTTTGGGACCATTTGGGTTCATCCTGGGTGCAGCCCTGGCTGGGCTCTTGTGCTGCCCAAGGTGCATCCATGGAGGAGATCCTTGAATCAATCCCTGCTTTATGCTGTAGCTCTGTCTGGTCTCTGTTCTAGGTCAGCCTTTACAAGGCATCACTCCCAGCCAGACAAAGAGCTCTGCAGTGTCCCCCTGTGTGCTCAGCCAGGATTTACACAGAATGTCCTGGGACAAGGACTACTCGATCCACATATTCCACATCTGTGATGGATCCCTGGCAGTGCCTAAGGCCAGGCTGGAGCAGCCTGGGATAGGGGAAGGTGTCCCTGTCCCACGCAGGGGGATTTGGAACCAGGAGAGCTTTAAGTCCCTTCCAAGGCAAGCCCCTGTGGAACTCCCTGCTTTGCTGGGGTGTTTCCCTGCAGGAGGAGCTGGAAAAGCACAAAGCACAAAGCTCACGCACGGTTTTCACGTCGTTGGTGCCGATGATTCCCCCGATCTCCCCCAGATCCTTCAGCAGCAGGTTCAGGATTTCAGTGGCTCTCTTCTTCTGGTGGTTGCTGAGCTCCTGCAACTGGCCCAGCTCCCTCTGGGTCGCTGTCAGGGCACTCTGGAAAGGTTCAAAAACAAGAATTACCCTCCCCGCTGCAGGCTGGGCAGTTTTCATGGGGTATTTTCCTCGTGCCTGCTGGCACAATGTAGTGACACATCCAGTTCCACCTTGGCATAATCCACTTTCACAAGTCACTTGCCACCAAAGGCTACTTTAGATCTATTAAATGTAGCGAATCCGCTAAGAATCTGATTTGCATAATACATCAAAGGAGGTTAATCACAGAGAAATAGGTAGAGAGGGATAGAAAATTCAATTTTTTGCAATGGATTTTGTGGTAATCTGGTTTACTGGGGGAGATAACAAAGTCTTTAATGAAACAGATCTGTTAACAACAGCTCCTTAAGTTGGTGTAATGAATTAAGGGAAAAGGATGTTTTAAGCTATTAAACCAATCTTGATTTTCCTCAGATCCCATTTTTTGCTTAAGATCAGGACACATCAGAGCTGAAAAAGCCGATTAAGTTTTTTCTTTTTTTCTTGATTCCTTCCTTGAGATCCCTGGCTCTCTGTAAAATCCCAGCTCCACAGCACAGAGTCCAGAAAACCACAAAACGCTGCCATTTGCATGAGGCAGATTTTCACAGCTCTCTTGGCAAAATACAGCTTTTAAATATCCAAAACACAGGATGGCCACTTCTCACATCCAGTCCTTTGCTGCAAGAGCCACAATCTGCCACCAACTTCCACAGAGCAGCTTCTGAATTCCCTTAATTTCGTTGTTGAATTAAGACAGGGAAGAGAGGGTGACACCAGCAGGTTTTTGGGAAGCCCTTTGGGAATATTTAGGGTGCAAGGAGAGGGCCAAGAGGAGGAACAAGTTGCTCTTACACTCTTCTGTGCCAGCTCATCTGCCAGCTGCTCGTTGGTCCTCGTTTTGTCCTCCACCTCCTGGGATTTCTGGTCGTAATTGACAGCCAGCTCTTCCAGGGCTTGGAGCACCTCCTTCACTTCATCCTTGGCCGCCTCGTTCTCGATCTGGAGTCGGGTCAGCTCCTCCTGGATCTTCTCATAATCCCTCCTCGTGGAGGCCAAAAGCTGGGGAGGAATATCACAGCAGCATTAAGTGACCCAAAAACTCCTTCAAAAGGCAATGTTGAAAGGGAGAAAAACAGGCAAAGAGGGGAAAAAAGAGCGAGAACAAATCGTGCGTGCAGGAGGGGAGAAATCCTGGAAACAGCAGCAGTTCCAGCATAAAAGCATTTGAAGGAAGCACAAAAAAAAAGCTCAGAACTTCAATGAGAAAAATCTTCATCAAATCCTATTATGACCCAAGACTGAGGCAGAGAAACTGACTTTAAGCAGCTTCAGAGCTCCAAAGACGTTTTCTGCCCTCAATCCAGTGCTGCAGCGCAGACCAAAAAAAAAATCCCACAAAGTCAAATGTTCCACCAGAGGCTCAGGGCTCTGAGCTGAGCTGGGGGAAAAGAGCTCTCTGAGGCAGCCTCAAAGACCTCGTGGCTTCTCAGAAATAGTTTGATAAGCAAACCTAAGATGATTATTCTCAGTTATCATCTGAAGGATGATGCTGAGGACAGATTATCTGCTACTGTTTGCTGAGGGAAAATATTAATCTCAGAAGAAAATACTGACTTCACCCACACACACTTTAGTGAGTGCTTCCAAGCTGGAAAACTTCTTAAATGTACTGTTTGCTTGCTGCTGAGGTTTCAGTGATTGTGGGAGGTCACTGTCCCTTGTCCTTGAAGCAATGCTCAGTGAGATGTTAAAGCTTTGAAAATTCAGCTGTGGAGTCCTCAGCACAACCCCAGCCCCACCAGCAGCCCTGCACTGCAGGGTGATGTGGAAATAAATAAAAGTGACACCTAACATTTATTGCTAATACTGCACTTTCAAGAATAATAACAAAACCAGGCCTTGACATGGCATAAAAACATCAGATAGGGAATTACATGAGATAAAACCAGTGCAGGAGATGTGGGAGGGCCTCATGCTCATCCTCACAGCAAAGTTTGGGCATTCATTCACAGAATTCACTTCCTCCCAAGAAATATGGATTATGGGTTGGTATAATATTGCAGACAGTGGAATAAAACCTTCCCTGCTGAAGTGTTCTGGGTAGATTTCTCCTGATCTGCCCACGCAGCAGCTGAGTGAGACCCCCAGCAAAAAAAAACAAAAAAAACCACTTTTCTCAAGCAGACCACCCAAAAAGCAGAATGTCCCAAAAGAAATGGCTTTTTTTTTTTTGGCTCAGAGTGCTTGTGGAAAATAGGAAAGCAGGCAGGCAGCTCTGGAGGCTGGCACGTGCCCAGAGAGGACTCAGATGTAAAGGAAATTTATTTATCTCCCTGGTAATGCTGCAGCCTCAGAAGTGCACTCACGTTATGGAAAAAGCCATTGGATTGCTAGAGCCAGATGGCATGTAAATATTTAACCAACAAAATAGCTTCAAATCATCTTCCTGCTAAACACAGATGGAGCTATTATTTACATTTACTTCAGAAATTTTCTGCCTGAACGTCGCCGTGCCTTCAAGGAGTGCTGAGCATCACCTGCAGCATAAACAAGGAGATTGTGGCTGATATTGTGTGGAAAAATGGAGCAAGGTTTTCAAAAACCACCAAGAAAACATAGTAAAGGTGAGCTGTGAGCAAAGGGGAAAGGCCCACGGCTGCAGCCCTCCACGGATCTGTTCCAGCTGGGGATGGAATGTCCAGAATCCCCCAAAACACCCACCTGAAGCAGCAGCCAGAGGTGAAAAGGCACAAAAAAACCCCCAAAATCAGCCTCACCTGCAGCAGGCCTCGGGTTTGTAATTAACCTGCAGGCTTCATCAAGCAGAAATAATGGCTGGTTAATTAGGGGGAGCAGAGTGAGGTGGATCAGGAGCTCATCACATCTCCAGGGGAGAGCAGGGACAGCTGATGTGGGGAAAACCACCTTGAATAATAAAATATCACCTTCTCCTCCCCAGGTAAGGGCTGCACAAGAGCTGGGACCAGGCAGAAAAAAAGGCTCTGGACAGCACCAGCTGCAGAGATTTTGGAATTTAGCAAAGCTGGACTAGGAATGTGCAAAAAAAAAAAAAAAGGAAAATGGGCACTGAAAACCTGATTGATCTTCCAGAGGTGGCACTGGAACAGGGAGGGTGAGGAATAATTCTGCTCCCAAACAAAAGGGATGCACATCACCCCAAAACCAAGGCACAGCTGTGGGGGAAAATCAGCCTCAGGTGAGAAAAGGGATGTGAAAAAGAGGGGAGAAGTGAGGTGGCACCAATAAACTCATAATGCACATCAGGAAATAAATTATTATAATAATATATTATAATGCAATAATATATTATTCTATAATGATAATACATTATAATTATATTATATTGTATATTATAATACAGTAGTGTATTATTATATAATAAAATAATATTATTTATATTATAATATTATAATACAGTAATGTATTATATAATAAAATAACATATATTACTGTTATTATATAATAACAAATATTGCACATTAATAGAATATGTATATATTATAATATATTATTACAAATATGTAATAATAATGCACTTAAAGTGCGTTATTATTGTGCACTTTAAGTGCAGTATTATTATTATTATTGTTATTATTATTATTGTTATTATTATAATGTAACCACAGACAGCATTGTGCAGTGCAGGACAAACAAAATCAAATCAAGCTGTGACAAGAGAATGAGGAGCTTCATCTTAAATTAAAATGAAATAAAATAAAATAATACAGCTGGAGATTCCCCATCCAGGACAATTCCCCAGAGGGGGCAGGTGAACCCTGAGTGATGAATACCAGATATTTTCATAAACAGGTTTTTTTTTCTCTAATAACACCTTGGAAACCCTTGCTGAGGGCCTGGATACACGATAAAAGCAATTCCTGAGAAATATCACAGCAACATTTGGGGAATTTGGTGTTATTGCCTCCTTTTGCATCCTCAGAACTCCTCACAGAAGGGAATGACTGAGTTCAGTGCTCACGTTCTCCATCCTAAACCCAACAAAAACTCATTTTAGGGACAGGAACGATGCAATCAAATGCTTGAAGTGAGCAATCCAAGATTTTACAGCAAATCTGGGGCAGCACCAATTATCAGGTTTTTCCATCTCACAGATTGCTGTCTCTAATTGCCAAAATAATGATAATTAGCAATTTAATATCAGGAAATCTCTAACTGCCTGTAGTCCATCTTGCCTGGAAACCTGAATGGGCACAGCCACATCAAAAATCACATTTGGAGTGAAAAATCCTGGCCCCACTCCCACCTTGGACCTCCAGCATCACTTCCCAGCAGGAGGGACTGTTATTTCAAGGACTTTTATCAAGGCTTAATGAGAATATTATGAAATTTCAAGTTTAAGCCTGGCTGACACCTTTTCCACTTGAATTTTAGCCAGTTAATATGAACAGCTGGGACAGAATCATTAAACGAGGGGCTCAGGAGCAAAACGTAAAGGGATTTTTTTTAGGTAGGTTTATTTATTTTAGTTTCTTACCTCCTCTTGATCCAACATTTGCTGCTTTAATTTTTCAGCCAGCTGGCTCTGCTGGTTGATTTCATCATCCTGCAATGAAACAGGGGTGGAGATCTTTAATTTCTTTTCACAGCTCTCATTTGATCACTTTTTATTTCCTCTTTCTAGGAAAGAAAGGGGAATAAAACTTTGTGTATGTTTGAGTGGTGTGAGGGGAGAGAAAAATAAATAGACATAAATATACCATTAAAAATATATATATACACAGAGCTCTGCTGTAAAAGCTGTCAACACTGGTATAAATTATGATATTTTGGGTTTGGGATCCCTGTGTTTGCGATCAAATATCTTCTAACTTCCTACAGTCCTGTGTCAAATTATGCTTCCCAAGTTTTCTAGGGAAAAACTCAAACCTGCTGCTAGCTCCTTCCAGAATAATTTACTGGGTTTTGCTGCTTTTGATGAGGAAAGTGAAAGAATGACTGAATTTTTTTTCCTTTTCCTGATCAATATGGGAAAGCTGGAGATTGCAATGAGAGAAAAGCTGTCATTTCACACAGAAAACTGCTCTTTTCAATACCACCAGACTGTGCAGGGAGACCAAAATTCAGGTTTAATCACAATTCTTCTGTGTCCACAAACAGCCAAACCTCAATATTAACAGGCAAGGACACACTGGGCTTCTTTCTGCTTTTTTTTCCTGCTAATTACAATTCAATTTTAAAATTGAGTATTGATTCATGATGAGAGCTGCCTTTTTTTTTTTGCTGCTCTCATCCAGGTGGTGAATGGGCTTTTTCTGGCCTTTTTTCCCCCCACTTTTCATCTTCCCACAAGCCAAAGCTCTTAATGGCTGGAGAAGGGAATTGCTGAGAGCTTTAAGTGCCACTGATGTCCCTCAAGCTGTGCAAAGAAATAAACAAATAAATGAACCCTCTGGGCTGTGTTTGCAGCTCCAACCACACAAACAAAAGGGGATGGATTTTCCTTTAAAATCTATGATTTTTTTTGCCCTGGTGACTCCAAGATGACATTACAGTTTGCTGGGGGATTTTTACACAAATCACTGAAGAAAAGGGAAAGCCTGGACTTAAAACTATCAGAAAACTTTGCTCTGATTTCCTGGTGAATGCTCTCAAACACTGTCTGCACAGGGAAAGGGGTGGAGAGCTGACAGGATCTGCTTTTATGCAGTATTTGGAATTTTCCAACGTTTTCCAGTTCCCAATAGAAACAGAAGCAAAAATACACGAACAGAGCAAAAAAAAAAGAAATAGAGCAAAAATACACAAACAGAAGAAATGGAGTAAAAATACAAAAAAATCTTGGTGATAATTGTCCATTGCCACCTGGAATCCAACCTTCCCAACTGGAATCCAACCTTCCCACCTGGAATCCAACATTCCCACCTGGAATCCAACATTCCCACCTTATCATCCAGCTGCCTGTAGAGACTGGCGATCTCCTCATCGTATTTCTGCTTCTCCTCTGTGGAGATGCTGGCGACCACGGGGGTGATGTTATCAATAATTGGGGTGTTGTCACAGGGCTCCAGGTTCTTCTGGTCCTTGGCACTGATCTGCTCCTCCTCTGGCACAGCTTCTCCTGCAGGGACACAGCTCATGAAAATCCCAAATCCAGGGATTCTCCAGGATGGGCATTCCTGGTCAAGGAAGGGCTTTGTGCCACTCCAGGGATACAAATGACAAGGAAAAGGTGTGGGGAGGTGGCCACCCTCGTGAGGGTGATGATCCCATGGAAATGCAAACTCTTATGTGATGCCTCAGGTTCAGCTTTTCTGTGTTTCAGACTCTGTGCTGCTTCAGTGTGCAGTTCTGAGCTTCACATTAAGGCTTGCTGAGCTCTCTGCACAGAGCAGGGACACAAAACAATTCCTGCTCCAGCTGGGCACCAAGGACAAATGATCCAAATCTCAGCCCAGGAGCACAAACCCCGTGGGCTGCAGAGAGAAAAACAAGCAGGATGGGAGTGCAGGGCCTCAGCTGGAATTGGACACTGAACTGCAATGTGCACATGGAGCAGAGCTGATCCCAGGGAGAGACCCCGGGAGCGCTCGTGCATTTTGGGACCATTTGGGTTCATCCTGAGTGCAGCCCTGGCTGGGCTCTTGTGCTGCCCAAGGTGCATCCATGGAGGAGATCCTTGAATCAATCCCTGCTTTATTCTGGAACTCTGTCCAGCCTCTGCTCCAGGGCAGCCTCTCAAGGTACCACAAGGACCTGTGATGTCTTTTCCAACCTTGATGATCCCACAAAATCCAGCAGCAGGTGGAACACTGAAAGCACAGAACTCCTGACTCTCACTCCCTTGATAGTCAGGATTAGCTCCATGGATTAACAGAGGTATAAAAAAGTGGGAAACCTCCCAAATTCCAGCCTAAAATCAGCTGACATTTAAATATCTCTTCCTTCAGGGATTTCCAGCTCCAAGATGGACCAGCACAGCGGTGTTTAAAACAATATTCAACTTTTACCTTGCTAATTCCAGCAGAAACACCAGCTTCCAGAGGTTGCCTGTGCACAGACACATTCCCTACAAAATCCCTGTCCCCAAGGAACATTTCCTTCAGGAACAGCCCTGGGCTACAATTACAGGCTCAGAGATGAGGGATGGGTGAGCTGCTCATTGCAGAAATTAAATCCACCCTCACCAGAGGCTGGGGAAGACCCATTGCTCAGGAGGTGGGAAGGGTAAAGGTTTTCTCCTTTTCCAGGAAAAAAACTCCAATATTTTAGCTCCTGAAAGCTTTACCTGCCATTCCACTTGCCAATTTATCTCACTGGCAGGGGAACAGGTCAACAGGACCAATAGATCAAAGCCCAGAGAGGCTGAGTGAGGCCCCAGAGCAAAACAAAAAGGGCAAGAAACAGCACAGCCAACTAAGCAGGTGATTTTTTTTTTCCCATGGTTTAAGGTTTTTCCTTAAACCATGGAAAAAGTGGAATTTGAAATCAAGCAGCATCAATTCCATCAAGGTACTTGACTCCAAAGATTTTCTGCCCTATTTCTGAAGGCTTGATGGTATTTTCTATTATTAATGAGGGAAATGGGAATTGATTTTTTGCTGCTGGAGCAGGGAAGGAAAGGTGGGTTTGGTTAGAATGCTCCTCAGGCTGTGGAGGATCCACCAGGATCAGCATTTTGGGATTAAACATTCCCAAAAGTGATGTTTAATTTCTCATTCATTGGACGAGAACCTCCTGCCTGTAAAACACAGAAAAATTGGGCACCTGGAAGCTGAAATGCTCAGCTCACCCATTCCCTGCCACCCTTTTCTTTTGCAGAATAAGTCCCTAATTCCTGGAATCAGCTGTGCTGGTGGAATGTTATCCAAGATGGGATTGCAGGGACAGTTCCCTCTGTAAAAAGCCTCCATCCTTCCTGAGGATGGGAGTGCACAAGGTCAGACAAGAAATCAATAATCTTTTAATGCATTGCTGGGTAACAGCAGCACCCAGGGAGGGGAGGAGGATATTTAAACAAAAGGATCCATCCAGGCTTTTGTAAAAAAAAAAAAAAAAAATAGGCTTTGGATTGGGGTTTTTTTTGTTGCTGGTTGATTTTTAAAATGTGGAATAAACAATTCAAACTAAGGTTGTTTGCTAAAATTGTCTGCCAGCGTTCCAGACTGAATTACATTTTTAAAATTTGGCTTTCAATAAAAATTCTTTCATTTGTGTGTATCCATATTCTGCCTCCTGTACCATCCTATAGCTGATGTTACAACCTACCCTGAACAGCAATTCCCCACTTTTCTAATCAGCAAATTGGCTGATCTCAACAAAAAACTTCATTTAGAAGCCACAGGAGCAGACAAATGGTGATTCTTCTAAGCAGATGCCACTCCCTGTCATTGTACTAAAGGACTAATTAATTATTCTAATGTGAAATTCAATTATAAAAAAATCCCCAAACCCAAGGTCCAATTACCTTAAAGCACAATGATTCTCATGCCTGAGGAGCAGAGTTGTTAAAAAAAAACGCCAAATATAATGACATTTTCCCCTTTTCTTATTACTATCATTAACACTATTAACTTTAGTGATTCCTCCTTTGTGCTCTACCCTGAAATCACCAATTTTGGCATTTTCACTGGTTTCTCCCATGGCTGCTGCTTTGCCTGGTTTTTGCTTCTTCACTTTTCATTATTATGAAGTGTGAGTTGTAATGTGAATTTAGATTTAGTGGCCAGACACAATTAACAAAAATTGTGATTGAGGGCAAGAATTCAACACAGACACGTCCAGCTCCCAATTTTTGGCACCTACCATTCCTCCACCTGTTCAGCTCCAGCTCCAGGTGCTGGATAACATTCTTTAAACTCTTGTTTTTGTCCTTCTCCTTCTCATACTTCTTCTTCCACTCCTCTGCTGTCAGCTCCAGGTTCACAGACACCGTGTTCTTGATGGTCTTGGCCCTGCAAACAAATCCCAGGGCAGCTGCTTTGGGGTTTTTATCCCAGTGAACCGTGGGGATCGGGAATTTTTCCATCATACAGAGGGGAATGAGTGGGGAAACTGTGGATTCCCCATCCCTGGAAGTGTCCAGGGTGGGGAGGGAAAGGAGAAAAGGAAGGAGAGGAGAGGGAGGAAAGGGAAAGGGAAAGGGAAAGGGAAAGGGAAAGGGAAAGGGAGTTCCTGCCTCCCTAGGCAAAAATATCCCAAATTTCAACCCTCTAAACAACCACCACAACTTTATTATTCTCAAAGTGCTCAGCTCCAGCCCAACCCAACCCATTGTGCCAGGAAATGCAAAGCAAGCAGAAAACAATGCCCAGCACCTACTCCAGCAAATCCACACTGAAAAGGGAAACCAAACCAATCAGAATGAATTAAGAAAGCCTCAGATCTTTGCCCTTCACTGCTCAGACACTGAGTCCCTTCAAATGCCTCCAGTGTTGTTGAATAAAGCAGAGGATAAGGACAAGGATAACAGACAAACCCTCAGCAGTTTATAAAGCTCCAGTCATTTGCACTCTGTGGCAAGCAGGACTTTTGTTACCTTAAAAGTGTTTTTTAAATAACCCCGTGCTTTTAAAATAATTTCCTCATGGTCAGGGTTTACACTTTGTCTCTGCTAAAAGCACAGCTCAAGTTTCCACTCTTTTAACTGTACCAGGGCAAAAAAACCCAACCACACCAGGAAGTTTCTTTCCCCTGATGATGGATGAAGCCCTCACTGACAACTACAGTTAAAAATGAGATAAAAACACGAGACAAGATGGAGTAGAAAAAGAAAAAGCTGATTCACTACTATCAGAGGAGCACTTGTAGAGTTTGATTGGTACAAGAGCTCCTCTGAAGGTGGATTTAATTCCTGACATTTATTTTAATGGTGACATAAGTCTTTCTTTTCCCAGGAAAAATCAGCAATCAGCCATGAGTCATGGACCTTCCCTTTAATGCCACTGAGCTCCTCAGTTGTGCCACATCAGAAAAATGAGACACAACAACCCAAGAGCCTGGAAAATAACCCCCATTCCCACCCAAAATCCTGCCAGACAATGTTGTGCATGGATAATCCATGGGCTGCTCTGCACAGAGCACCAGTCCTCCCAGGGAAATACAAATTATTTCCTTCCTGACAGTTCAGAATTCCAAGAAATTCAATGCTGTCCATGAGGAGCCCCTCAGAAATATTTCCCTGTTTTCCCAGTTCTTGCACTACCATCCTGGTCCTCGGTGAGGATCACCCCCAAAATGTTCCTCCTCCCAGGAAACTGTTGAATATTTAGCCAGGATGTGCAGAGTCAGTCAGAAAACTGCCTTGCCCCAAAAGATGGCAAATTTTACTCATTGCTGGAAAGAGGAATGAAACCAGGGGGAATGTAAACTGAAACTGCACTTGGAAGCTGGAGTTCAGAGTTGTTCATGCTCTTAATTTCATTCCTGCATCTCAGGATGCTTGGTTTTGCTCAACACATGATCTGATAAGTGCAAGTTTGGATCTTCAATAGCTAAAAATCATGTTTAGCTCACAATGGGGAAAAAAAAACCTACAAAGCCACTCTATAACCTGATTTTGCTCATGGCCACTGCCTCTCTTCGCAGTCCAGAAGCTCCACGTGGTGGAAAAAAGCCCAATTTTAAACAAAGACAAAGCCATTGTATCCTCAAACTGTTCAGCTCTCTTTAAACACTCCTAACTTGCCAGTATTTTTCCTTTCTGCTACTACACAAATCAAACAAAACGAGTAATTTTCCAAAGGATCCCAGTTCTCCTCAATTACCACAAAAGCAGTAATTGCATAATGAGCCTGACCTATTTCTGCAAACCTTCCCAATGCATTTCACATCCCTCTTGTCAATAAACACACATGGAGGAGAAATTTTCCTTCTGGATCCTTCCATACTTTTTATTCCTCAGTTGTCCAGATCCTCCAAACATCAGGTCCATGAGTTACCATGACAAGCCCTCAAAGCTGTCAATATTACAGAGCCCACACTCTTGAATTTTCCTAATTTCTAGAGATATTTTTTACAGCCACAACAATGATCCCTGAGGTGGAATTGAAGAAGACACCTCTTAGAAGCATCAACAGCACTGTTAGATAAAGCAAAACTGAATTTTTCCACAGAAAACAGCCCAGTGCCTTTATCTTCCTTAGCAGGTGACATGTGGTGGAAAAAACCCAATTTTCACAACAAGACAAATGTATTGTGTTCTACAACTGCTAAATTTTATTTTGCACAATCCTAACTTGCTGGTATTTTTCATTTCTGCTACTACACAAATAAAACAAGATTTGTATTTTCTGAAGTCTCCAATAAAGCAAGACTGAATTTTTCCACAGAAAACCACTCAGTGCCTTTATCTTTCCCATAAAATTTCAAGGAATTAAGATAACACTTTGTACTCCCTGCAGGAAAATCAGCCAGGAAGGAATTCAAGAATTCCTTCTAGACATCCTTCCATGGATTGTCCAACCCTTCCCCACTTTTCAACCCACACTGCTCCCAAGCAGAGCAGCTGCTGGCCAGCATGAACCTCGATTTTCCTGGAGGATTTTCCTGGAATCACTGGGAATAAAGAGCCAGCTCTCTGAAGTTCTCCAGATGTTTTTTACCAACTCCAGAAACCCCAAGCTCTGGATTCCAAGGGAGGATGGATGCCCGTGGGACTCACCTCTGGCCAAACATCAGGGTGGATTTGGTCTCGGCCTCGTTGAAGACGGAGGGGGAGCAGCAGATGACGATGGTGGTCCTGCAGTTCCCCCCCAGGGAATCCTGCAGGATCCTGGTCATTTTGCTGTCTCGGTAGGGAACGTGGGTTTTCTAATCCAAACACAAGCAAAAGACAAGAGCAATTCTTTAAACTGCTGGAGTTTAAGAGAGGAGGTGAGGCCACGCTGGCAGGAGTCACAGTTTGTTGTGACTGTGCCCAGATTTGGGAGCTGCTCCAGTGCCATCACTGAGGATTAATTCCTCATCTCCAACAGCAAAATTGCCACTGGTTTGTGACAACATTTTGTTTGTTAATATTTTATTAACAGCCAATATTTTCTCCCTTCGGAGCTGAAACGTTGGCTCCTTTTACCCCTTTCCTTTCATTCCCTGAGGATGGCAAAGAAGCAGGTAAATAAAAACCCCTCCTCACCCCCAGCCAGGATTACTTACAGTTCCCTCTGCCAAGGCTGAGATCACATTGCCCAGAGCAGACAGAGACTTATTGATATTTTTAGCTTCATCCAGAACTGCCCCCTCTGCTCCAGTTTTGCTGACCTGCAAAGAGAGCAGGAAAGAGTCAGGTTCTGCTCCAGCACAAAGCTCCAGCCCTGCAAAGCTGTGCCTAAGGATGCTCCTGGAGGAGCAAAACCCGGCTTAGCTCAGCCTGGGCCAGGAGAATTTTATATTTTATATATTATATTTTATATTTTTATATCAACTTCTATAAATTTTTTGGTTGTGCAAACCTGGAATAATTCCACTTTTCTCCCACTCCAAGAGCAAGTTGTATTTTAATTCAGGGAGAATTTTATTCAGGGAGAAGTCTGTGCTCACCTGAGGATGTTTGGGAACCCCTCCCAAAGCCAAGCTGTCCATACAGACAGGGAGCACCACCCCAGTGCCCCCAAAATGAGCATCTTGCATTTTTATGCTTGCATGGACCAAAAAATATAAAAAATCATAGATTTTGTTAATGGCCACTGCCTCCTTTAACAGGCCAAAAATGAGACATGGTGGAAAACAACCCAATTTTCACAGCAAGCAAATGCATTGTGTTCTACAACTGCTAAATTTTATTTTACACAGTCCTAACTTGCTGGTATTTTTGTCTTTCTGTTACTACAAAAATAAAATAAAATTTAGATTTTCTCATGTGTCCAAATAGAGGATAAATCCATTCTTTTTTCCTCTACATTAAAACTATCTGTACTTTCATCTAAAAATGCCCCATGACATGAAGGAAAAGCAGTCATGTCTTTTAAGAAGACAATCTACCCCAGAAATCCATATTTCAGGTTTTCTGTACCAAAACCAACCACAAAAGTTGTTTTCCCAGAGGAGAGGAGTGCTTAACCAGGCCCTCATTTTGTAAACACCATAAAGAGCTTTTAATTTAGCAAATCTGTGCAATCATAGACATCAACATGATTAATTTCTCTGACAGATCACTTTTGCATTGTACCCATGGGTTATCAATTAAACTGTCCCAATGAGCAATCCCAATAAAGCTGATTTCAAACACTCCAGAAGACACCAGAATGAGAACTGGGAAATATTTTTGCTTTGCAGCACTGTTCCAAACCATTACTCTTTTGGTAAATAGATAACAGTAATTTTCTGGGGTAATTTTTCTGCATTGGAAAGCAGAAATAGTCACCACAATCAAGATTCAGAGAACTTTGAGTAGAATTGAAAACTGCATTTAACTGCTGGTATTTCATTCATTTAATATGTGGAATAATTACAAAAATCCTAGACACAGGACATGACAATGTAAGCAAGTTAAAATATGTGTCATTTGATAAATTATTTTTAAAATTATATTAAATTATATTAAACATTATTTATATATTAATATATACATAAATTTTATATTATTATATAGAAATTACATTAAAATTACATTCCTTTTTTCAGCTACACAGATATAAATGTGAATAAAAATAAAAATGGTTTAACTCGCTCTATTATAAATTCAGATTTTGGGAGAGTTGTCTTTCATGCCAGTAATTCTGATTTACTCCTCTTCTCCATTTCACATTCAAAAATAAAAATTAAAATGGCCTTTTTAATGATAATCTAAGGAGAGAGCTCTGTGAGACACCCTCCCATCCTCACTGTGGGATCCCAGTGGAGGAAAAAGGAGAATTTACCTTCTCACTGCCAGCCAAGTCCACCAGGTAGAGCTTCCCACTGAGCTTCTTCTCCGTCTCCACGTTCTCCTGTTTGATGTTGATGAGGAAGATGCTGTGGCTCCTCGAGCTGTGCTCGTTCATGTCTGGAATCACAGGGCACAGCTTCTGTTAAAAATGCCTTTCCAACCCGGCAGGGGATTCCATCCCATCCGAGCTGGCCCCACCGAATTCCCAAAGCCCAGAGAAGCTGGGCAGGTCTCGGTGTAGCTCACAGGATTCACAGAATTCAGAGTGTTCACAGGATTTCTGCCTGGCACTGTCCAGCCACACCGTCCCCAGCCTGTGGCACCGCAGGGGTTACTGCGGCCAAAATGCAGGACTGGGCACTTGGACTTCCTAAACTCCATCCCACCGGGCATATATAAATATAAAATATATGTCTATATTTTATATATATAAAATATATTTATATAAACATATAATATAATATATGCATATATACTATATATATAATATATTTATATACATATATAAATATAAAATATATGTATATATTTTATATATAAACATATAAAAATTCATATGTAACATAAAATATATTTAAAATTTTAAAAATATTCAAAAATAAAATATATTTTAAAACAAACATCTGATTCTAAACACAAAACACCACTGCAAGCACTTCCAACCCCAACCTTGACCAAAATAACCCAAGAACCAACATTTAGTGGTGAGCTCACAGCCTCCAAGGGGGGATCCATAAATCCCCTGGCAGCAGCAGCAGCCCCTTGGAGGGACCTCCGGGATTTGGGGACACTCACTTGTCACAGCCACGTGCCTGTTGGCCTTGCCCTCGTCGATGACATCCAGAACTTCCTCAGGGCTGGACACAAACCTTTCTGTGCAGCCCTGGGGACGGGAGGTGGCAGTCAGGAATGTTCCTTTAGCACTAATGAGCCCACAGTAATTAGGAGAAGCATCAGCAGCCCCCAGGACCCCACAGACCCGACCCCGCCTCAAGGTGACTTCCAGGGAAATTTGGGAACCAGTTTTTTCCCACAGGGTTAAAGACTCAGTGAAATCTAGACCCACAGCATGAAATTTTCCACAGAAAACACAGAATAACATGTTTTCTGTGGGAAATTTTCAATAACAACATATATTCCCAATTTGGGTTAGATTTCATACCCAAGTTAATTTAATTTAATCAACCCCAATTTAATTTTTCCCCCTCAAACTACAATACAAAGTACAAAGTCATTCTCTGTCAAGGCAATACTACTGAATAAATTATTTTCTCCGTTTATTTTTACTTCTCAAGCCGAGAATAAATAGGAAAATGTTAGATAGACATTATTTAGGCTCACATATGTTCGTGCCAAGCATATTGCATTCAAGTGAGGGCCCAGAAAGTCATAAAACAAATCCCTACCCCAACCAATCTGCTCTGAACTATTGTGAGACTACAGCACCCATGCAGCAAAATATTAAAGAACAAAATGCCTCAAGTTGTTCTCTTTCATATCTGACATGAAAGGAGAATCTGAATACTTAAAATTTAACAGCATCCTAACAAAATGGCAATGTTCAAAGTCAGGAGAATAAAACAAACATGATTCAAGCCCATTAATATTTCAGGAAACTTGTTTAAACCCAGGAACCAACACAACCTGAACATTCAAGGCTTCAAACAGGAGCTGAATTATTGCAGCAAATAACACTGGATGCAAATGGAAACGTGTAAATAAATGCATTTGTGGGAAAGAATGAAAAGCTGAGGGTTAAATTATTCTTTTACCTTGACATAGGGGACTCTGTTTTTATCTTCATGTACAGCAAGGTTTGTCTTTGACACTGGAGAGAGACGTGGAGATCACCAGGAATATTCCAGAGGTCATAAATAAATAAATAAATAAATAAAATGTCAGCTCCAGGCACGACAGACACATTTTGGGGATGGAAATTTGTATTTGAGATCTGCAGTCATTCCCCACTCCTGCTGAACCTCCAATATTTCCAACACACAGGAACCATTTCCTGCTCTGTCAATCTTGTACCTGCTCATTTAAATTTAACTTTGGGGCACAAATCTTTTGTTTATTGCTTGGGTGAATTAAATAAACCCAGACTAAGCTGGGCTTTGGCAAAGCAGAGGAGACAGGAGAGCAGCCTGGAATTCAGAGCAGCTCAGAGCTACATTTGCAGACATTTCTACATTTACAAACATTTCTACATTTGCAGACATTTCTACCTTTGCAGACATTTCTACCTTTGCAGCCATTTCTACCTTTGCAGCCATTTCTATATTTGCAGCCATTTCTACCTTTACAGCCATTTCTACCTTTACAAACATTTATATATTTACACATATTTCTACCTTTACAGCCATTTCTATATTTGCAGACATTTCTACCTTTACAGACATTTCTACTTTTACAAACATTTCTACTTTTACACATATTTCTACCTTTACAGCCATTTATATATTTACACATATTTCTACCTTTACAGACATTCCTATATTTACACATATTTCCACATTTACAGCGCTTTCTGTGCTCACACTGACCAACAAAACCCACTTTATTAACACACAAGCTGCAGAATCAAAGACATGAGCTGTGAGAGAAGCAGATGCTCCCCACCAGACTGCCTGCCAGAAGTGAGGGATAATTCCAAACCACTCCCTGCGTTCTGAAATCAGGTTTTTTATCATTTTTCCTTGAAGAACACCCCTTGCCCAGGAGCCCCAGCTGTGAGACCCTCAGAGCTCTCTGCTTCACCACAAAGCTCTGCAGAGGCAGGTGCACAGGATCAGATGGCTGAAACTGCCAAATTCTCCAGTTTAAATTGAATCCCCTCCCAAATAAAGTCAGTGCTCCCCCTCAGGCTTTGGTGCAAAGCTCTGGATGAAGCCAAGGCACTCAGCAAAATAAACACAGAACTTACCATCAAGCAGGTCCCTTATTTTGTCCAAATATATCTCAAAGTAGGAAACCTAATTAAATAATCACAAACATCACAGGTTGAAACGTTGCTGATTTAATGTCTCTGTGTTTCCATCCCTGTCAAAGCACCAAGCTAAAAATAAAACCCCACCTCCTCCCACACAGTTTGAATTCCATCTTTCATGGGAACACATTTGTACCTTGAATGGTTTACAAACCATTGATCTTCCTCCATTTATCAATGGAAAAGTACACAAAAAACCTGCAGGCTAACCTTATCTTCTTCTTTTTTTTTTCTTTTTTTTTGTAACACAGACAAAATTGACAAAAAAAAAAAAATTGAATTGAATCAAACCAATGCAGCTCCTGCCATATCAGGTTTGAGGATTGTAAAAACTATACATTGATTTTCACACCCCCCCCCCCCCAAAAAAACAGAGAGCACCTTCACCATTCCATTTCCATAAGCCTCAGCAGTACATATTAAATTAAACTTTCAAATGAAGCACATGTGGTGCTTCTGCCTTGAATCAAATCCAAAGGAGAGAATGAAAATGAGCTTTGCTGTAACAAAGAGAGACAATTGTCCTCAAAAAAAAAAAAAAAAAGGAGAGAGAGGAGAATGATTGAATGAATGAGTTTCTTAATAAAAGGGGATTTGACCCACAGAAGGAAACAAAAATAGGAGAGGGGAGTAGGGCCTAACCCTTCCCTAATGAAGTTTTATCCAGATTATTTAGCTGGAACACCACATGGCTGCAATCTAGCTATGAATAAACCCCTGGTATTTCATAAAGTCTCATTTTCTCTCATCTGAAAAAAAAAAAGTCTGGGTTTTTTACACAGATGGGTTGAGCTTTCCACGTGAAACTGCAATTAAACACAAATATATTTTGCATTTTTGCCTTTACTTCCCCGTTTAAAGCCCTCCTCTGGACCAGCTGATTCCAACAGCCCAGTTAGGCCAGACTTAACATTTCACATTGAAAACCCACGCTCCTCCAGAGGAGAAACCAAATTCTACATGGATCCCTGTTAGAGAGGGAGAGGAAATAAATGCCATTAATTTCCAGAGCTTCAGTTCTGCAAAGATTATTAGTTCCATTATTAGGAGAGTGGGGCAGCCTGGTTAAACCCAGACTGCTGCTGACAGAACATTTCTCTCCCTGGCAGCTCCAGGCAGTTTTTTTGGGAGAGATTCATCAGCTCTGCTGGGAAACCTTTGGGAAAATTCTGGGATTTCCAAGGGGACAGGCCAGGAATTCCCTCCAGCTTTCCAGAGGAGGGGAGGGATCAGAGTGGAAATTCAGAGGGGTCTCTCCATATTTTACAATCCAAGGTCTCTGCAAGTATTTCACGGTTTTGGAATATTTTCAGTTTCAATTTGGAATATTTTTTTCTGTCTGTACCTCACTGCTGAGAAGGTTCCAAATGCACAACCAAGCCCTTCCAGAAGCTGATACCTTGTCTGTCTATAAATTATTATTATTTTAAGCTGGTACCTTGTCTGTCTATAAATTATTATTATTTTAAGCTGGTACCTTGTCTGTCTATAAATTATTATTATTTTAATCATCTTGTACCTTCAGAGGTACAAGATGATTAAAATAATAATAATTTATAGACTGACATTTCTGTCCTCACACTGATTAACTTTACAAATATTCCTCTGGGGCCACTTCAAGGGATTAAATGCAAATAGCACTAAAAAGTGTAATTTTTTACCTTATCTCTAAGTTTTAGGTGCAGAAAACTCTCGGCGAGCAGCAGGAGAAGGGTCAGTGGCTTCACACCCTCCTGTGCTCCTCAGCTTTTAGGTCTGGCTTAGTTTTGGGGCAGGGATGACACAGAAAACTCCTTTTCCCTGCAGTCCATGGCAATTTTACTGATAATCCCATTTTCCTGGTGTCTGCTTGGACAGGAGCTGCAGCTCTGCAGCTGGGAGCTCCCCAGGACCCCAAATGGGCACTGGGAATTCAAGGTCATTCCCAAGAATTTGGGAGCTCACATGGCCGGGATCAGGGAAAGGACATGGAAAAACACTGCAGACCATCAGAAAGAATCCAAAAATCCCTTCTGAACACCCTTCCATGAATTGCCCAAGCTCTCCCCACCTTGAATCCCACATCCTGGAGACAGGATGTCAGGATTTTCCCAAATGTCCATGGTGCTTATGGTCAGAACCCACAAGGTTCAATCTCTGGAGGAGCTGCAAAAATCAATTTTTTTGTTCCAGCAAACCTGAGCTGGACAAACCCTCCAGAACAAAAAAAAATCCAGAGGCAACATCAGTAATAAATCTTGGAATTTTTGCTGTGAAAGGGATGGAGGGGAGGAAAAAAAAAAACCCACAGAAGATGCCAAGGCAGATTTCCCATGGATTTATCTCAACCAAGCCATCCCAAAAAGGGGTGACTCCAAAAAAATTGCACGTAAAATTCCATGTAAATGTACCTTGATGTGGAACTCCAGGTTCTCATCCATGGAGTAGATGTGGTCGAAGATGTCGTGGGCAATCCTGGGGATGATTCCCATCAGCTGAGGGTCGTGGAGCTTCCCCTGGGACACAAACCCCAAAGGTGACTCAGGAATCCTCCTGCTGCCTCATTTTTATTGTTTTATTAAATATATTGCAGGGCATTCTAGATTTTATAGATATAAAAATCTATATTTTAGACTATATTTCAAGAAATCCAGGTGTAAATCTGAAGTGTGAGGGATCACTCAGCCACAGCTGCCTCTGTTTAAATCAGCAGAAATTTTTGTGGATTTTTATTAAAAATAAATTATTATTATTATTACTATTACTATTATTATTGTATTACTTTATATTATTATATATTATATATATTTTATATAATATGTATAATAATTTATTTAGATGAATTTTGATTTATTTAGACGAATTTGTGATCTATTCAGACAAATTTCTTTTTTATTTCGACGCATTACTGATTTATCCAGATACATTTCTGATTTATTCAGATACATTTGTGGTTTATTTAGCTGCATCCGTGGTTTAGATAAATTTGTGATTTATTTAGACAAATCTGTGGTTTAGTAAGAAAAATTTGAGATTTATTTAGACAGATTTGTGATTTAGTAAGAAAAATTTGAGATTTATTTAGACAAATTTGTGATTTAGTAAGAAAAATTTGAGATTTATTTAGACAAATTTGTGGTTTAGTAAGAAAAATTTGTGATTTATTTAGACAAATCTGTGGTTTAGTTAGAAAAATTTGAGATTTATTTAGACAAATTTGTGATTTATTTAGACAAATTTTGATATTTTTTTTAGAAAAATTTTGATTTATTAAGATAAATTTTGATTTATTTAGACAAATTTGTGATTTATTTAGACAAATTTGTGATTTAGTAAGAAAAATTTGAGATTTATTCAGACAAATTTGTGATTTAGTAAGAAAAATTTGAGATTTATTCAGACAAATTTGTGATTTAGTAAGAAAAATTTGAGATTTATTCAGACAAATTTGTGATTTAGTAAGAAAAATTTGAGATTTATTCAGACAAATTTGTGATTTAGTAAGAAAAATTTGAGATTTATTCAGACAAATTTGTGATTTAGTAAGAAAAATTTGAGATTTATTTAGACAAATTTGTGATCTATTTAGACAAATTTTGATTTTTTTTTTTTTAGAAAAATCATGATTTATTGAGATAAATGTTGATTTAGCCAAATGTGTGGTTTATTTCTCAGCTCCTTCCCCCGGGCTGTTTCATTTGGGTTCCTGCTGCTGGTACCTCCATGGTGTGAGTTTTTCCTGACGAGGTCTGGCCGTAGGCAAAGATGGTGCCGTTGTAGCCCTCCAGGACATCTGCCAGAGGAAGGAAAACAATTCAAACTCTTTCAGGACACCCTCGAGATGAACAATCAGCATTTCCCATTCCAGCTTGGAAATGGGAAGCAGTTTGTGCAGTTAAAAATTGGGGAAATCACGAGATACTGAGCTAATTCTGGGCCAAAAAATCATCATAAAATCTGAATTCGAGAATTACGGGATTATTGGAATATCTCTCCCTTTTTGGGGAGAAAAATATCTCTGGACATCAGATATTGGCCAATAAATCTGGGGAACATGGGGAAGAAAAAGCTGGACTGCATTTAAAACCAGTATTTAAAACCAAGCTGGACTGCACTTAAAACCAGTATTTAAAATCAAAATTGGACTGCATTTAAAACCAGAATTTAAAACCTGCATTTAAAACCAAGCTGGACTGCATTTAAAACCAAAGCTGGACTGCATTTAAAACCAGGATTTAAAACCAAGCTGGGCTGCATTTAAACCCAGGATTTAAAACCAAGCTGGGTTGCATTTAAAACCAAGCTGGACTGCACTTAAAACCAGGATTTAAAACCAAAGCTGGACTGCAATTAAAACCAGTATTTAAAACCAAAACTGGACTGCATTTAAAAGCAGTATTTAATCCCAAAGCTGGACTGCATTTAAAACCAAAGCTGGACTGCTTTTAAAACCAGAATTTAAAACGAAGCTGGACTGCACTTAAAACCAGGATTTAAAACCAAAGCTGGACTGCTTTTAAAACCAGAATTTAAAACGAAGCTGGACTGCACTTAAAACCAGGATTTAAAACCAAAGCTGGACTGCTTTTAAAACCAGAATTTAAAACGAAGCTGGACTGCACTTAAAACCAGGATTTAAAACCAAAGCTGGACTGCTTTTAAAACCAGAATTTAAAACGAAGCTGGACTGCACTTAAAACCAGGATTTAAAACCAAAGCTGGACTGCTTTTAAAACCAGAATTTAAAACGAAGCTGGACTGCACTTAAACCCAGGATTTAAAACCAAGCTGGACTGCATTTAAAACCAGAATTTAAAACGAAGCTGGACTGCACTTAAACCCAGGATTTAAAACCAAGCTGGACTGCATTTAAACCAAAGCTGGACTGCACTTAAAACCAGGATTTAAAACCAAAGCTGGACTGCAATTAAAACCAGTATTTAAAACCAAAACTGGACTGCATTTAAAGCCAGAATTTAAAACCAGGATTTAAAACCAAGCTGGACTGCATTTAAAGCCAGAATTTAAAACCCAGCTGGGCTGCATTTAAAGCCAGAATTTAAAACCCAGCTGGGCTGCATTTAAAGCCAGAATTTAAAACCCAGCTGGGCTGCATTTAAAGCCAGAATTTAAAACCCAGCTGGGCTGCATTTAAAGCCAGAATTTAAAACCCAGCTGGGCTGCATTTAAAGCCAGAATTTAAAACCCAGCTGGGCTGCATTTAAAGCCAGAATTTAAAACCCAGCTGGGCTGCATTTAAAGCCAGAATTTAAAACCCAGCTGGGCTGCATTTAAAGCCAGAATTTAAAACCCAGCTGGGCTGCATTTAAAGCCAGAATTTAAAACCCAGCTGGGCTGCATTTAAAGCCAGAATTTAAAACCCAGCTGGGCTGCATTTAAAGCCAGAATTTAAAACCCAGCTGGGCTGCATTTAAAGCCAGAATTTAAAACCCAGCTGGGCTGCATTTAAAGCCAGAATTTAAAACCCAGCTGGGCTGCATTTAAAGCCAGAATTTAAAACCCAGCTGGGCTGCATTTAAAGCCAGGATTTAAACCCAAGCGGGGCTGCATTTAAAACCAGAACTTAAAACCAGAATTTAAAACCAGAATTTGAAACCAGAATTTAAATCCAAGCTGGACTGCATTTAAACCCAAAGCTGGACTGCATTTAAAACCAGAATTTAAACCCAAAGCTGGACTGCATTTAAAACCAGAATTTAAAAGCAGAATTTAAAACCATAATTTAAAACCAAGCTGGACTGCATTTAAAACCAGCATTTAAAACCAAAGCTGGGCTGCATTTAAAACCAATATTTAAACCCAAAGCTGGGCTGCATTTAAAGCCAGGATTTAAACCCAAGCTGGGCTGCATTTAAAACCAGGATTTAAACCCATGCTGGGCTGCATTTAAAGCCAGGATTTAAAACCAAGCTGGACTGCATTTAAAACCAGCATTTAAACCCAAGCTGGGCTGCATTTAAACCCATTTAAAGCCAGGATTTAACCCCAAGCTGGGCTTTATCCAAGCCCTGGAGAAAGCTCAGCCACCCCAGGTCAGACAGTCCCCAGGCAGCCCCGCAGCACAGCTCAGGCCCCGCGCATTCCCAGAGCCGCTGCCAAGGCAGGAGAAAGGCAGGAGAGGAGCAATTTGGGAATCGGCTCCTCTCAGGGCACAGTTATTGTATCAATAATCTGATATCGGCTCCAGAGAGAAAAACACTGACTGTGCAGGGTTCACGCCCAATTCCAGCAGGCTGGGGGGCTGTAAATTGTGTTTTGTGGTGTTTGCCATCCTCTGGATCTCAATTAATACAGGTTTCCTAGCAAAAAAATTGAATTAATTGAATATTGCATTAATTATTTTATATTATATTGGTAATATTGTATATTATATATAATACACTATATAATATTTATATAATATTTTGTATTTTTGTTATTATATAATTATAATATACAATAATATATTTATTATATTATATGATATATTTAAATATATCATAATATATTTATTATATTATATTGTATTATATTGCATTATATTGTATATTCTATATATAATATATATAATATATATATAATATATATTATATATACACATTATTATGTATATATATACATTATATATATTATTTTATATATATATACATAAAACACATTACATATATATCAATACATTACATTAATTAATTAAATTCTATTAAATTATATTTTATATCATCTGTGTAATGTATTAAATTAAATTATATATTAATTTTATATTAATTCAATGATATTATTTACATAAATACACAAATAATCTCCTCATTTGCCTCTCCCGCAGGTGCTCGACATGGGAAGAAAGATGCATCAGAAAAATAGAAATGGAATCTTGAAGAGAATGACAAAGTTCGAGGCCATGATTGCTGCCCTTCTGGAATTAACAATTCATTTTTAATTAATTTAGAGTCCTCATCTGCTCACAGAGACACTGCTTATCCTTGCTTGAAGGAAACAAAGTTTAAAATAACTGATAATAAATAACATTTCAATGGATTTTAAAAAATCCAGCTGTGGTATTCCATAAGGGTTCGTTGCTAATATTTCATCTTGGTGCCAGATTTGGTTAGATTTTTTAAAAAAATAGCTTGAGTTAAAAACAAAAATGGAAAAAAGTGGGGAGAAAGGGAGAAAAAAGGGGGAAATGGGGGTAATAAAGGGGGAAAACAGGGGAAAAATAAGGGGAAGAGGGTGGAAAAGGGTGAAAAGGGGGGAAAATGGAAAAATAATAGGGGAAAAAATAGGAAAAAATAGGGGGAAAATAATAGGGGAAAATAATGGGGGAAAGGGTGAAAAAAAGGGGGAAATAGGGGGAAAATTTGAGGGGAAATGGTGAAAAAGAGGGAAAAGGAGGGAGAAAAAATGGGGGAAAAGGGGAAAAAGGGTTATTTTGTCCAGGTGAATGCAAGGTAGCAGCTGAGCTCACAGCCAGGGGGAAATAAGCTGATTAATGAACTGTTATGTAAGAAAATTGCTCAGAATTTGCATCAATATTTGCATTTTGCTGGAGGAAGGAGAGATCAGCATTTTACCTTCCCAATTAGCAAAACCCACCTTATCCTATTCAGAAAAAAAAATAAAAAATAGCTCTCTGCTTCTCCTGCAGTGAAAACGAGTCAGAAGGGTCAGGTTTGAGTGGTTTTTGGTGGGAGGTTTTGCACCTTTAGTCCTTTACAGATCATCTGTGCACTGAACCCAGGAAGAAAAAAAAAAAAAAAACAATAAAAAACCTGCACAAAACTCCAAAGGGAGGGGAGAAAAAAAAAAAAATCAGATTAAAAAAGACCCTGAACCAAGATCAGGTGGGATTTTTTACATCACTTCCAGAAAAAAAAAAAAACCAAAACAAAACAACAAAACAAAGCCAAAAAAACAAAAAAAAAAAAAAAAAAAAAAAAGAACTCCAAGTGTTTTTCTCAATTCCAACTCTCCCCTCAGGGATTTCCAGTTTTTCCCCCAAATTTTTCACTGCTGCCTTTTTTTCCCCTGGGTGGGCACCACAAGCTCATGGCCACGTTTTTAGCTCTGCATTTCTCTTTTTCACCCCTCATCTCCCCAGTTCTACAACTCAGCATTCAGAGCCCAGATCTGTAACCTGAAAAGGCACCCAGCTCCCAAGGGAGAGCAGCCCAGCACCCAAAAAAATTAATTTCGAGGTATTTTTCTCCCTCTCAGGTCACACAAACGGGCACTGAGGTGTTCCAGTGCTCCCAGATTTTCCCCCCTCCATGGAATTGCAGGAAAAATGCAAAATTCAGGAGCACAGGGTGGATTCAGGAGATAAAAACTCAGGTTTTGTCAACAGCTTTTGTCATTTTATTAATTTATTATTTTATTATTGTTAATTATTTTAATATTTCCTATTATTCCATTATTTTATTATTCTTACTTTTAATTTTTTTCTATTATTCCATTATTTCATTATTTTATTACTTTATTATTTGAATTTTGATTTATTTCATTTTTCTATTATTCCATTATTTCATTATTTTATTACTTTATTATTTGAATTTTGATTTATTTCATTTTTCTATTATTCCATTATTTCATTATTTTATTCCATTCCTTTTAATTGTAACAATTATTTTAATTTTTCTACTATTCCATTATCTTATTATTTTATTTTACTATTTCTAATTTTTAATTATTTTAATTATATATACTATACATGACATATATAAATATTATATATATTATATATAGTTATATATATAATTATATATATTTATATCTATGATATTTAATATATAATATATATGTGTATATATTACTATAAATATATTGTAAAATTGTATATTATAATTATATTATGACGTATATAAATATAAATATATTAATTATTTATATATATATATTAATATAAATATATATGTGTATTAAAATTTTAATTATTTTATTCCCTGCTTTATTCTGTAGCTCTGTCCAGCCATCTCCAGGCATCCAGCTCCCCTTTCCAGGCAGGGAATCTCAGCAAATCCAGCCCAGCAGAAACATTTCACAGCCTGCACTCCATTTAAACCTGAGATTAAATGGGAGGAAATCCAAGAGCAGAGCTCAGGATCATCACTGCAGGGCTGCTCTGCTCCCCCTCCATGGCTGCCTTCCCTCTCCCTTCCATCCTTCCCCTCCTTGTCCTCTCCTTCTCTCTTCTCCCCCTTTTCTTTCTCCTTTTCTTCCCCTCCCCAGCCTTTCAAAACACCTGCAAAGTCCAAATCCACACACGCCTGAGCTCTGCTTTCACCCAGGATTTTGGGAACTCTTTTCCTTTCCATTTGGTTCAGGAAGACAATTCAGTCAGCAATTCAGCTCTTCTGGAATAAACACCCATCCTTCTCCCAAAGGATTTTATTCCTCTCACCATCTCCAGAGGAAAAGCAGCTTCCACAGGGGCTGTAAAAGCCCTCCACAGTTCCACAAGCAGCACACCCTGGAGGACTGGAGCAGCTCCCCAAATTCCCAGTGCTGTGCCAGCAGCCTGAACTGGTGATCCCCGAGCTCCAGAAATGCAGATTTTATTCCAGGCTCTCCCATCCGAGGGCAGAGCTGCTGCAGTCTGACCCCTCTGAGAAGAACTCCACTCATTTCTGCTCTCCAACACCAAATCATTTCCTCTCTGCTCCTTCCCCACCACCTGGGTGATCCGGGTGAGCCAAACAATTTCCTGCAGAGCTGCTGCCAGGGGCTGGAGCAGGACCCCAAAAAAGCAAAATAAAAACCGAGGGCAGGACTTTGGAGGGGGCAGGGAGAAACAAGGGCTCTGCTCGTAACCCAAAGTGCGTGATGCAGGGGGGTCACACATCCAAACCTCAGCTCCAGCAGTGTTTGGAGAGAAAAATAAAAAAAAACCAAACTCCTGGTGGGATTTTTGGGGTGTCCTGTGCAGGGCCAGGAGCTGGAGTGAGGATGCTGTGGGTGCTCGCCAGCTCAGCATTGTGAGTTTTATCAATATCACCAAGGATGGATCATCCAGCACCAGGACCAAGTATGAGGAGGATTATTAGTTTTATATTATTATATAAATATTATACAAAATATTATTTCAATTATTAGATAAAATATTATTTCAATTATTAGATAAAATATTATTTCAATTATTAGATAAAATATTATAATTTTTTTTTAATTTATAGAGGAGTACAGCCTGTGATTAAAATGCACCCCAAAAAATTGGAATGTCAAGCGAAAACCTTGAAATTTCCACAGCTCCTGAAGGTTTTGTTCCAAGATCCAGGGTGTTTTCCACGAGGTGCCTGTGCTCTCACTCAGTCTGAAATGCAAACTCTGCATGCAGAGCAGCTCCCAAACCAGGCCCTGCAATGGCCCATCCTTTTTTGGGGTGTCCTGTGCAGGGCCAGGAGCTGGAGTGAGGATGCTGTGGGTGCTCGCCAGCTCAGCATTGTGAGTTTTATCAATATCACCAAGGATGGATCATCCAGCACCAGGACCAAGTATGAGGAGGATTATTAGTTTTATATTATTATATAAATATTATACAAAATATTATTTCAATTATTAGATAAAATATTATTTCAATTATTAGATAAAATATTATTTCAATTATTAGATAAAATATTATAATTTTTTTTTAATTTATAGAGGAGTACAGCCTGTGATTAAAATGCACCCCAAAAAATTGGAATGTCAAGCGAAAACCTTGAAATTTCCACAGCTCCTGAAGGTTTTGTTCCAAGATCCAGGGTGTTTTCCACGAGGTGCCTGTGCTCTCACTCAGTCTGAAATGCAAACTCTGCATGCAGAGCAGCTCCCAAACCAGGCCCTGCAATGGCCCATCCTCACACTCAATTTTACAGATATTCCACGCTCATCCTGCACTGAACTGCACCAAAACCACATGTTGTGCCCCTTATATCCCAAAAACCAGATTTGTGTGGAATAACAAGGAGAGAACACACAACAACTGCTGCAATTCCTTCAGCTCTTTTGTTTAGTATTTTTTTTTTCACCCAGACAACCCCTTAAAAAAAGGAAATACTTGGAATTACTGATGCTCAACTTTCCAAACATTGATTATCCAGTGTTTAAACAGCTTGGGGCACAGAGTCATCCTTTTCCCTGCCCTAAGGAGGGACAACAAGCAAGGGCATCACCTACCTTTGACAATCTGCTTGGCACAGGCATTATAAACTTGTTCCTGGGTTGTGTTGGGAGGTAACACCCTGTCAAAGACGTAGGGCTTCCCTTGCTGCAATAAAAAAAAAAAAAAGAAAAAAAAAAAGGAGAAACTCCATGAGATAAAGAACATTTCTTGCACTTTACCATCCCAATTTCCCAGCCTGGAATGCAGAATTTCCCACAGAGGAAGCTGTGTCGCAGAGGAATATTTTAAGGGCTGAACAGATGTGACATTTTGGGTGCTCCAATGGCATTTTTTTCCTGTGGCTGGGAAATAAAAGGTGGCAGATGTTCCCTGGGTGCTCACAGCCATGGATGTGGGACACGATCAGCTGGAACAGCAGGAGCTGGGTGTTTCCTTCCCCTGCTGGGAATTCAGGGGGAATAGCCATTAATTAAATATAAATATTGGGAAAATAGCCATGTAAATATTGGGGGAATAATCCTGTAAATATTGGAGGAATAATCCTGTAAATATTGGAGGAATAATCCTGTAAATATCAGGGGAATGGCCAGGTAAATATTGGGGGAATGAACCTGTAAATATTGGGGGAATGGCCAGGTAAATATTGGGGGAATGAACCTGTAAATATTGGGGGAATAGTCCTGTAAATATCAAAGGAAAAACACGGTAAATATCAAGGGAATAATCCTGCAAACATCAGGAGAATAACCCTGTAAATATTGTGAAAATAATCCGGTAAATACTGGGGGAAATAGCCATGTAAATTTTCGGGGAATAAACCTGCAAATATAATGGGAATAAACAAACGTGTAAATATTGGGGCAATAAACCTGTAAATAGTGGGGAATAATCCTGTAAGTATCAAGGTATTAACCCTGTAAATATTGGAGGAATAATCTTGTAAATATTGGGGAAATAGTTGTGTAAGTATTGGGAAATAGCCATGTAAATATTAAGGGAATAACCTTGTAAATATCAAAGGAAAAACCCAGTAAATATTGGGGTTATAACCCTGTAAATATTAAGGGAAGAATCCTGTAAATATCAAGGGATTAACCCTGTAAATATTGGGAGAATAATCCTGCAAATATTGGAGCAATAAACCTGTAAATATCGGGGTAAATATTGGGGGAATAATCCTGTAACTATTGGGGGAATAATCCTGTGAATATTGGAGGAATAATCCTGTAAATATTGGGGAATAGTTATGTAAGTATTGAGGAAATAGCCATGTAAATATTGGGGGAATAATCCTGTAAATATCAGGGGAATGGCCAGGTAAATATCGGGGGAATGAACCTGTAAATATTGGGAGAATGAACCTGTAAATATTGGGGGAATGGCCAGGTAAATATTGGGGGAATGAACCTGTAAATATTGGGGGAATAGTCCTGTAAATATCAAAGGAAAAACACGGTAAATATCAAGGGAATAATCCTGCAAACATCAGGAGAATAACCCTGTAAATATTGGGGAATAGTTATGTAAGTATTGAGGAAATAGCCATGTAAATATTGGGGGAATAATCCTGTAAATATTGGGGGAATAAACCTGTACATATCAGGAGGAATAATCCTGTAAATATCAAAGGAAAAACCCAGTAAATATTGGGGCAATAACCCTGAAAATAGCAAGGGAATAATCCTGTAAATATCAAGGGATTAACCGTGTAAATATAGGGAGAATAATCCTGTAAATATAGGGAGAATAATCCTGAAAATGTCGAGGGAATAACCTGTAAATATTGGGGGAATAATCCCCCCAAATATTGAGACAGTAACGCTGTAAATACAGGGAAATAGCCATGTAAGTTTTGTACATAATCCTGTAAATATCAAAGGGAAAAGCCTGTAAATATTGGGGCAATAACCCTGAAAATAGCAAGGGAATAATCCTGTAAATATCAAGGGATTAACCCTGTAAATATAGGGAGAATAATCCTGTAAAATATAGGGAGAATAATCCTGAAAATGTCGAGGGAATAACCTGTAAATATTGGGGGAATAATCCCCCCGAATACTGGGACAGTAACCCTGTAAATACAGGGAAATAGCCATGTAAGTTTTGTACATAATCCTGTAAATATCAAAGGGAAAAGCCTGTAAATATTGGGGCAATAACCCCGTAAATATCACGGGAATTATCCTGTAAATATCAAGGGATTAATCCTCTAAATATTGGGAGAAAAATCCTGAAAATATTGGGGGAAATACCGTGTAACTTTTGGGGGAATAAATCTGTAAATATGGAGGGAATAATCCCCCCGAATATTGGGACAGTAACCCTGTAAATACTGGGGGGAAATAGCCATGTAAGTTTTGGGGAAATAATCCTGTAAATGTCAAAGGGGAAAGCCTGTAAATATTGGGGCAACAACCCCGTAAATATCAAGGGAATTATCCTGTAAATATTGGGGCAATAACCCCGTAAATATCACGGGAATTATCCTGTAAATATCAAGGGATTAACCCTGTAAATATTGGGAGAATAACCTTGTCAATATTGGGGCAATAACCCTGTCAATATTTGCAGAAGTTCTGCTGTTCACTCCAACAATCCAGTGAAAGCTGTGCCGTGAGAAACTGAAATTTGCTGTCCCGAGCTCTGCTGAGCCCAAGGTGACCCAGAACTGTCCCAGCACCCCTCTGGTTTCATTTCCATGCTGAAAACACAAACGTGTCACCAAAAGCACAGCTCGGACCCAAACCAGGAGCCCATCCCAGCCACGGCACCCGCAGATGGGATTTGGTTCAGGAATTGCTGAATTTATTCAGGAATTGCTGTGATTTTCAACCCCAGCACCAACAAATCACTTCCCACATTGTGGGAAGGGCTCCACAATTCCATATTGTGAGGGCCTGGTGCCACCCTGAGCACCACAATTCCATTTTGGGAGGGCCTGGTGTCACCCTGAGCTCCACAATTCCATTCTGGGAGGGGCTGGTGGCACCCTGAGCTCCACAAGTCCATTCTGGGAGGGGCTGGTGGCACCCTGAGCTCCACAAGTCCATTCTGGGAGGGGCTGGTGGCACCCTGAGCTCCACAAGTCCATTCTGGGAGGGGCTGGTGGCACCCTGAGCTCCACAAGTCCATTCTGGGAGGGGCTGGTGGCACCCTGAGCTCCACAAGTCCATTCTGGGAGGGGCTGGTGGCACCCTGAGCTCCACAAGTCCATTCTGGGAGGGGCTGGTGGCACCCTGAGCTCCACAAGTCCATTCTGGGAGGGGCTGGTGGCACCCTGAGCTCCACAAGTCCATTCTGGGAGGGGCTGGTGGCACCCTGAGCTCCACAATTCCATTTTAGGAGGGCCTGGTGGCACCAGGACTGACATTCCCACACGGATACACGGCGTCGCGCTCCCAGGAAACCTTGATCCCTCCTTGCAACCACTGTCACTGCTTCCAAGGCACACACAGCCCTAAAACCAGATTTTTGTGACACTTCAAAGGCTGATCAATTCCTCAGAGCCAGCTCTGCTCCCCCAGCCCCACTCCCAGAACGACATTTCCATTTACAACACGAATCCTTCACCCAAAAGGGATCTGCAGCATCCTCCTCATCTCCCATCAACGCTCCTGGTGTTCCCCCTTTGCCAAGGCACCCCTAAGGAGGTGATGTGGTGGAAAGCAAGACAAATTAACCTCTTCAAAGCTGAGGAGCTGAGGGAGGTGCCACCAGCGCCACCGGCCGCGAGGCTCTGCCCAATTCACTGTTTTTGTCACGCCTTGATTCCATTTCCATTTCCAGGGATCCCATCAGGAGCTTCTGCTCCTTCAGTGATCCTGTTCCAGCCTGGGGGTCTGCAGTTCCAGGGTGAGGGGGGATTTCCAAGCTGTTCAGGAGATAATTCCCAGGTTTGGGGCCATGCAAGGCCCCCCCTGTAAGGCACTCCTTGTTCCAGACCTCCCCCATTCCCAGGAAATGGGGGGAGCAGCCAGCACCCACCCAAATTCTGTCTCTCCACACCTTCCCACACTGGGATGCTCGCAGCCAGCCAAAGCTCTGCGCTACCAGCAGGAGCAGGGCTCAATATTCCAAAACCATTTCCCATATTCTCAGAATTTTACCTCCTTTACCCCCGTTTTGCTCACCCCAAGCTCCAGGCCAAAAATCCCACGAATACACAACCTCAAACATCCACTTATTCTGTGCTGCCATCAACTCAGCCCTTCCACAGGGCATCCCACACCTGGAATGTCAGAGAGCCTCAGGAAAAAAAAAAAAAAGCAATTTTATCCTAATTGTGCCCCACACAGCTGGAAGAGGCTCTGCCTGCAAATGGGATTTATCTGCCCAGGCTGAAAAGCTGCAAATGTAAAATAGCAGCTCATAAATGTGCTCCACAGGTCAGGTTTCCTCGTCTGGAGTTTTTTGGGGGGTTTTTTTGGAAAAATCTGAAGGAAATCAAGGAACGTGGGGGATCACAGAGCATCTCCACTGAGTGCACACAATGAGAGCAGCTGGGGGGTTCTGGGAGGATATTTGTGCTTCAAACCCACATTAATCCTCATTTTTTCTCATTTCTGGTTGGGTCTCTGGTGTTGGAGAAATGTTGGGATCTTCCTGAGCTTTCCTTCTGCACCCCCAGCTCCTCGCTGCCACATCCACCCAGCTCTGTGGGGCTGTTCATTGTTGTAATCTGGGTTATTATTGTAATCCCTTCCTTCCTGACAGGTTTTCCTCAAAGGCAACAAAAGCCACCTCCACCCTTCAAAGGCAGCAGCCTCCAGATCCAAGGGGTTTGCCCCAAAGCAGAAGGGAGAACGAGCAACCATGAAAATCCCGATTTTCAGCCCTTTTCTCCCTATTGTCACTTCACAAGTGACACAACTGGATATAATTATGTTAATATTACTATAACATATATTAATAGATATTATATTATAATATATTGTATTATGATATTATATTATATACTGTATATATTATTTATTACTATGTCAATATTTTATATAATATACTAAATATTATATTAATTTATTAATTATGATATATTAATAAATATTATTTTATATACTCTATTATATTAATTAATATTACTATACATTCTATTATAATAGAATATATTCCATTTTATATATTCTATATTCTAATTAATAATATCG